TGCAACAATTTTCGCATGACTGCTTTTTTTTTGTAATAATTTCTATTTTTAATAAATTTTTGTATTTTTTCAAAATTAAGGGTAAAAAAGAGAAAATGAATAAAAAAAATATAGAAGAGTGGTCGCAGTGTTTTTTAAATGCTTTGTGATGAATATGGGGAATGGTTTGGTAAGGTGTTTTTCAGTAAACAGTTCAAAATTAAACCGGTTTGATCAAATTACCCCTTTGGGAACTCCTTGAACCTTTGGAGTCTGACGACGGAATGTATGTATTTAAATGACCGTTTAAATATAGGGGAGGGGATAAATGGTTGGACCCCGCTGCCCCCGCGACACGGGGGTGGGGTTAACTACTCTCTCACCTCCCGATTTCTTTTTGTTATGATGTGGCCAGGCCCATAGCCAGGAGAAATTTTCATGGGGAGGGCAGGTGGGTGGGCCTTCTTCTTGCGTACTTATTTTAAAAAGTACTTTCCTTTATGTTCCATATTCTAACACAAATTTCCATTTTTTAAAGATTCTGGACGAAGCCGTCGTCGTTCAATAAGTCCATCAACTCGAAAACGGAGTTCAAGTAGAGATAGATTCCCGCGTGAACGGACTCGAGATTTTAATAGAGATGAACATCGTAATAGAGATGGGGGTGATTTTGGAAATAATCAACCATATCAGCAACGAAGAAATTCCACTTTTGTGCGTAGAGGAGGAAGGACTTATGACAACAATAATAATAATGGAGGTTCTAATAATAATTCACATCAACCTGTGCCTTTATTTGGGGCTTTTGCATTTCCTAGTACTCAGGCAAATCAGGTTAATTAATTAACTAATTTTGTGTTTATTGGTTTTATAGACACTCTGAAAAAATTTTTAAGGATCCAAAACTTAACTAGTTTTTTAGGGCAAGCGAAAAAAGGGTATAATAGTGCAAATTAGGGTAGCTGGTCGGATGTAGCGAGGTTTGTCAGTGTAGAGCCTTCGGAATTCGGGTCGGGGTTTTTGCCAAAAAATCGTCGTTGATTTTTCCGTCTAGTGTATATTTAAAAATTGATTAAGAATTCGGAAATGGGACCCCTAACTCCAAGAAAAATCGAACCCAAGAGTCTTAGGTGTCTATGAAGTACTTTACCTTCTCACAGTCAATTTTTCCAATTAAAAATAAATAAAAAAAAATATTTTTAGGCTGTTTACAACCCAAAAACTGGGTCTACAGTTCAACTTGGTGCAAAAGATTTGAAGGTTTAATTAAGAAAGAATTCCCTAATTCAAAAAATAATTTATTAAGCCTTTACCTCTTCGTTCATTTGGCGGCCCACCTTCCCAATTTTTCCCAACACCAACTTCTTCAAGTCCAAATTTTCGATTTCCTTCAATTCAAATATATCAAAATGGGCCTCCACCACAAATTAATAACAACAGAAATGGAGGGAATATTCAACAGCAGCAGCCAACATCCCCACCAACACAAATTCAAATTTCCCCACATTTTCGTCCACAATTTGGACAAAATTTATTTTCTGGATTAGCTCCAAATTTTACAATAAATAATGCAAGAATGCCTGGACAAAATTTGATGAGTTTTAGTGGTGGAGGGATAAATAATTTGAGACAGTCACAACAGCAATGTAAATAATTTTTAAATTAAATAAAAATATTTTTAAAAAATTGTGTTAATTTATTTTAGTTAGTGAATTTTATTTTATTCTAAAATAGTTAGAAAACCTCATTTTTAAGTTTATTTTTATCTTCCCTCAATTTTCCTTTGATTTCTAATTAGGGTTGTTTTCGACCAGTTAATTTTTTGCTTTTGACGGCTTAAATGCTCTTATTTTCCCCTAATTGAATTTCTAACATTATTGAATATCCCTGCGATTTTATAAAAATTAAAGGTGCTTTGTTTGAATTATTGGCTAAATTAATTTTTGAGAGAAAATTTTTAAAAATTTCTAAAAACCTCAAAAAAATATATTTTTGAAAATAAACCCAAAAATTAAATTGCTGAAAAGATGTTTGTTTTTCTGATTCGCTCATTCAAATTTTTAAAAGGAAAAGAAATTTTTAAGTAAAAATGATAATCTTAAGACAGTCAATCCAAAAATTATAATTTAAAATTTTATCAAAAAAAAAATTCCAAAGAAACTTTTTTTCTAGCCCCTCCAAAATCTTCCTCACCTACACATAGTTATTCAATGGATACTTGTGGATCTGCTTTAATTATTCAAGAAGATAATTGTTCTGTTGATGGAAAGGGAAATGAAAGTAGTGGAGAAGTAAATTATTAATTTTTTTCCTTAAAATTAACGGAGAAAATATTTCAATGTCATAAAATGTAGTTTTGGTTAAGTTGGTTGTGTTTTAGACTTTAAGGGGAAAAAGCTGGCAGTGATGATATAATAGCCAAATCTTAGCTACTTTGGGCTGCCGTTGCCCGAATAGGGCAGAACCCACGGTGGGCAAAGTAGTTTTGTGGGGACCAAAGGCCGAGACTGAGCCAGCTAAAAATAAAAAAAAATTTTTAATTTTATGCAATCGAATTTCATTATAAGATATAATCCCTTCGGAGCCTGTTATAATACCAAAAGCTTAAAATACCAAACCCCCAAAAGCTGTTAAAATACCAAACCGTGGAAAAAAGCTTAAAATACCAAACACCCAAAAGCTGTTAAAATACCAAATCGTGGAAAAAAGCTTAAAATACCAAACACCCAAAAGCTGTTAAAATACCAAACCATGGAAAAAAGCTTGAATTACCAAACCCCCAAAAGCTGTTGAAATACCAAAGTGTCGTTCCAATGTCAGGGGATGTTGACTCATTGATCGGGGGAAGTTGTCCCGTCAACGATGGAAGTTGTCCCGTCAACGGGGGGAGTTGTCGCGTCAACGGGGGAAGTTGTCCCGTGAACGGGGGATGGATGATTTATATGTCATTCGGAAGAGCTCGTCGAGCTGAGTCCAATACGCGGAAAAAAGTTTTTGCCGCTGCGGAGGAAGCCGGGCATGTCGAGCGGAACGACGGCCGCCGCTTCGCTACGGTCGCCGCGAGCGAAGCGAGCACGACCGCAGCGAAGCACGGCCATCGTGTAGCGAAGACCATGCCCGGCCTACCCTCCGTAGCAGCACAAAAACAGTTTTTCCAGCGAAGATTCAATTGGAACAACAACATACTTGTGGTTGGAAAAATTTTGAAGTTCGAAGCAACAATGTTTAACAAAAAATTTTAACAGAAATAACAAAAAATTTTAGTTTTGTATTTATTTGGTATTTCAAGTCTTTTTTCACGATTTGGTATTTTAACAGTATTTGGGGGTTTGGTATTTCAAGCTTTTTTCCACGGTTTGGTATTTTAACAGCTTTTGGGGGTTTGGTATTATAAGCTTTTGGTATTACAATTTTTGGTATTTCAATCTTTTGGTATTTCAAGTGATGGTATTTCAAGCTTTTGGTATTATAACACGGTACCAATCCCTTTAGCGCCAAGTATTGTCGTTTCTTCGAAAATCTGGGGATATCCAAGTTCCCGAACCGAAAAATTTTCGGTTCTGAACAGTTAATCCTACTTGAGACTGAAAATATCTCACCTTATAATAAGGGGGTTATTGCTTACCTTTTGGGGTACCTAAAAACGAGGCCCGAAAAAATATTTTTTTATAAAAAAATTTTCTTTCAGATGTCTTCCTCAATAAAAAATGCACATGACATTCCATCAATGTCCTCTTCTTCACTTCCTTATGCTTTAACCTCAATTCCAGATCAACCTCCAATTGATTTGCTTGAACCTAATAATGATGGGGAAGAAAGCAATGAATAAATTAAAAATAAATTATTTTTCCTTTAAAAGCATTTAATTTCATTTTTAGAGAAAGTGTATTGGTAGTTTAGTGGTTTAGTTGCTTGTTTGGACTACTAAAGTTGTAAAGGTTCGAATCCAGGGCCCTCTAAATTATTTTCTGTGGATGATTAAAGCTAGATAGGGACATCTGAAGAAAAAAAAGAGAAGGATCTTAAATTGATGAAATTAATCAAAAATTAAACAGTTATCCCTGTATGACACAGAAAATAATTTTTGAGAAAAAAAAATATTTTTTTTGCTTCGATTTATTTTTTTAAAAATTGTTTTTTCTTTTAAAGACAAAAATTTATTTTATTTATTTTTTTCATTGATTTTGTAAAGGATTGCCAAAAAAATTTTTTTTTGATTTTAGATTTGGTGGTCTTATTAAATTTCTTTCCTCCCTCAAAAAATTGTTAAAATGTTTGACTTTAAAAAATTATATTTTTTTTCATTTTTATTTTTTAGTAAAAGAAATGTTGTGTTTTTATTTTGTTGTTATTTTATTATTTAAATTCATTTGATATTTTTTAAATTTTATTAAAATATTTTTAATTTACAGATTTTTAAAATTTTAGATATTTAGTAAGAATAATTTAAAAAGGTGAGCAATATGTCTTTGAATAGAAATCAGAATTTATTCAGAATATTTTAAAAATCAGAAATTTTTCTAAATCAGAATATTTTTAAAATCAGAATTATTCTTCAAAACCAGAATATTTTCAAAAAGTCAGAAGTTTAATTCAGAATATTTCAGATTTTTTTTTTCAGAAATCAGAATTTTTAGAAATCAGAATTTTCTAAATTAGAATAATTTTTAAAAATCAGAATTTTTTCTAATTAGAATATTTTTTTTAAATCTGAATTTTAATGTAGGAATAAATATTCTAATGAATAAAATTTCTGATTTTAAATCGGAATATTTTTTTAATCAGAATTTTTAAATATCAATTAAAAACCAGAATTTTAAAAATATGAATTTTCTAAAAATCAGAATTTTTCAAAATCAGAACATTTTTTCAAATCAGAATTATATTCTTCAAAACCAGAATATTTTCAAAAAATCAGAATTTTAATTCAGAATATTTCAGATTTTTTTAAGAAATCAGAATAATTTTTCAAAAACCAGAATTTTTAAATCAGAATTAATTCAACCTCCTTTTTTCAGTAAATGTCTACTACTACCCAACAACCTTCTTCAGATTATTTTAACTCAGAATTTGAACATTTTATTCAAACACAAATTTCTGGTTTAATTTTAACAGAGAGGGAAAACAATTCAGAATTAAATAAAGAACAAGAATTAATTATTTCCATTGATTTTTGTAAAAAATTTTTAATTGAAAATTCTTCAAAAAAGGAAACAGAAAGTGATGAAATGGAAAAGAGACGTTCTCAAGTTTTGGCTAAACTTGTTGAATTAAAATTGGAGTTGGAAACACATCGAGTAAAAAAATATTTATTTTTTTAAATTCCGAAAAATTGAAAAAAAATATTTTTATGCCTCAGGGCATTTTTTAAAATTTAATTTAAAAAATTTTTTCACAATAAAAATTATTTTTAAAGGAATCTTTAATAATTGGAGATGATACAGCAAATATTAAAAGAATTAAATATCATGAATTTGTAATGCAATCGGTAAGGGGTACTAATGTTTATTGTGAAGTGTGTTTAAGTATTATTTGGAGGCTGATTCAGTATTGGAGAAGATGTAAAGGTGGGCAGGGAATTTAATTAAGGGAGGGAAATTCGTTAAATTTTTCCGGAAGAGTGAGTATAAACCTTCCGGAAATACAATTTTATGTAATATCAGCTTTCCGGAAATATATTAAACCTATCCTGAACATAACTATGAAAATAATATAAATTTTCCGGAACAAGTATAAACCTTTTAAAATATAAGGGAGAATTTTCCGGAAAAATGAATATAAATCTATCGGAATATAAATAGAAATATAAAACTTTCCGGAAATACATCTATTATATAAAACTTTCCGGAATGAATATATAAACCTTTTCAATAAAAATGTTCCGGAAAAATGTACATATATATGTACTAGTATATCTTTCCGGAAAATATCAACACGAATATAAACCTTCCGGAATATAAATACAAAATTCCGGAAATAATAAAAACTTTCCGGAAAACTAAATATAACCTATCCGGAATATAAATATAATATAAAATACTTTCCGGAAATATACTGAACGAGGAATATAAAGATATTAAACTTAACAAGAAATATAAACCATCCGGAATATACATATTTCGGAAGAATACAACTTTCCGGAAAATTAAATAAACTATTAAATTTCCAACAGTCTTAATTTTAATAAATAAAATAATTTTTAAACAACTCTTTTTCAAGTTTGCGGCTTTCGTGTTCATGATAAATGCATCGATCAAGTCTCACGTCATTGTGTTAGCACACAAATATACAAAACTGATTTTTCTCTTTCCCTCCAAATCTGTCCAGAAAATTCTCTTAGAAATCAAAATTTTCGTTGTGCAGAATGTTTGGCTAATATATCCTTTGGTTAGGCGAAATTAAGGGGATTTTTTTGACTTTAATTTTTAGATGAGGAATCAGACAAAATACCTCGACTTTGTGATTATACTGGATTGTTTTATTGTAGCCGTTGTCATTGGAATGGTAAGGAATTAAAATTTTGTTGATTAAAATAAACTTTCCGGAACATAACGAATAGTTTTTCCTGAACAAGGAGTATAAGAACTTCCGGAATATAAAAACTAAGTTTTGGGAAATATAAAAACCTCCGGAGCGAGAATATAAACTTTTCCGGAAAAGTAATTATGAACTTTCCTGAATATTAAAAATACTGTTAAACTTTCCGGAAGAAAAATAAACCCTCCCTTATAACAAATAGAATTTAGAGAAATAAAATAAAAATAAATAAGACGTTCCGGAAAAATACACCTAATTGATGATTTTCTTCCGGAATATAAATATTAAATTTAGGGAAATATAAAACTTTCCGGAAAAGTTAATATACATACAACTAAACTTCCAATACATTTTAATTTTCGATTTTTTTAAATTCCTTTCAAAATAAATAAAAGCTTTAAAAAATATTCAAAATTATTTTAAAATTAATTTGTAGATAATATGGTCATCCCAGCCAGATTGGTACGGAATTGGGACGCTAACGTTTGTTTTTCCCAAAAATTTTTCTCAAAAAAATTTTCTTTTAGAAACGCCCAGTCTGTCGGGCAACAAAACAATTACTTGTAGCAATAATGAATAAACCTTTAATTGATTTACCTAAAGAAAATCCTTTACTTTTTAAATTTGTTAATAATTTAAATAAAATTGGAAGGCTTAGAAATGATATAATGCTTATGAAATGTTATTTTGTCAGTTGTAAGGTATGCTCAAGTTTATTTAATTAATTATAAAGGAAAAATAAAATGAAATGATAGGTGCCCGGTTAGCTCAGTCGGTAGAGCACCAGACTCTTAATCTGGTTGTCGCGGGTTCGAGCCCCGCATCGGGCTGATATTTTTTAAATTATTTTGGAAATATTTTAAGATTATTTTGGATAATTTTAGACATTTATTATTTTAAATTTTTTTATTTGTTGGGAAAAAATTTTCTAGCACAATAGATAATTAAAATTAAATAATGAATAAATAATCAACTTTCCGGAATGAATATCAAACCTTCCGGAAAATAAATATTAAAACGAATGGAAAATGAACTTTCCGGAAAATGAAATACATGCATTTTAATTTAATAGGACTTTCCGGAAAATTTCTATAAACCCCCTTCTGGAAAATAAATACAAGAATGGATGAATAAAACTTTCCGGAACATGAATATACATTAACTTTAATTTAATAAGATTTTGTCTGGAAATGAACAAACATTAACTTTGACTTAATAAAACTTTCCGGAAACCTTTAATTAACACAACTTTTTTATAGATAGCCAAAAAACTTCGAATTCTCCAACATTTAAACCGCTATCAACACTTTGTTGAGACAGACGTCAAATACTCACTTGAGGACCTTATAAAAATAGCTACCGGCACGGGTGGTTTGCTCAAGGATATAGAGTCTATAGTCGAAATATTTAACCGTCATATAACACAAGAATGTGAAATTTGTCGAGGAAATGCATTTTTCTGTGAATTGTGTTCTGATGAAGAGGTGGGGGATTTAAGGGGAATTTTGACTATTTTTTGAAAAATTTTTTTTCTAGAGAATATACCCTTTTAGTGATAATGTTGCTATTTGTAAAGGTTGTTTAGCTGTTTATCACAGGTAGAAAAATATTTTCTAGATTTTTAATTAATATTTTTAGGCATTGTTTTGATCATGCAAGCAAACGGTGTACTCGGTGTGCTAGAAGAAGGGCTAGAAGAAAGGCGATAATGATGAAAACTGAAGAGGAGGGGGAATAAAAATGTAAATAAATAAAAATATTTTTCAAAATTATTTTTCAAAATTATTTTAAAAAAGCAATTTTAATTTTATTAAAATAATACGGCATCAATTAATTAATTATTGGCGATTAAATAGGAATTTTCTTTGGCATTACAATGTTTGAATAATTATAGGGATGTGATTTTATATTCCCTTGTATATATTGACTAACGTTTTCCGGAAAGTTCTCATATTATTAATTTAATATAGAAATATTAAAACCTTCCGGAAAAACTTAAATAAACTTTCCGGAAATTAAATATAACCGGAAACTAAATAGGTATAGGCGATTAAATAGGAATATTTCCGGAAAATAATTCCGGAAAATAAATATAAGAAACTTTCCGGAAAAATACAATAAAATACAAGAAACCTGTCAAGTTTAAATTTTCTTTCCGGAAATTTAAATAACAGTTTCCGGAAACTATTATAGAATAATTTCCGGAATGAATAATATCAAGTTTCCGGAAAATATAAAATCACATCCTTATTAAACATAAAAAAGGTTTTACTGGCTAAATATAATTGGACAAGGCTAGAATCATTAGAAATTAAGTACAATTAGAAAAGAGATTATGGCTTAAAAGAGGAATTAATTTTAAATTAAAATTTAATGTCCTGAAATTTCTTCCCAATTCCTTTGAAAAAATCAGAAACGTCTTCACTAAAGAATTTTTGAATGTCATCAATAAATTTGTCAAATCCGTGTTTTTTGCTTATTTCACTAACTTTTGATTTTATCATTTCCCACAAACGAAGAAGATATTGATGGAATTCTTCAGCACGTCGGTTGGCCATACACTCAAAATCGCAATCCTGTAAAAATAAAAAATAATAAAATCTTTACGGAAATATATTCCCGGAAAGTAGCTTTACGAAAATAATAAAACTTTCCGGCAAATAATGAATTCTCATAGTTGGTTAATATAAAACCTTTCTCCGGAAATATGTATAAAAATTAATTTAATCAATAATTATTTGGCTTTCTATAAAAGGTTGTAGTAATATATTCATGTTTTCCGGAAAGTTTTACTAAATTAAAATTAGAGTATATTCGTTCTCCGGAAAGTTTGTTTTTTTATTCTTTTTTAAATTTATTTTCTGGAAGTTTTTATTTTGATCCGGAAAGTTGACTATTTATTATTTCATTTTTCCCCAGCAAAATTAAACAAATTAAATTTTAAAAAAATAAAATTAAAAAAAAAAATAAAAATTTGAAAATAATTGTCTAAAATTAATCCAAATAATCTTAAAATAATTCCAAAATAATTTAAAAAATATAAGCCCGATGCGGGGCTCGAACCCGCGACAACCAGATTAAGAGTCTGGTGCTCTACCGACTGAGCTAACCGGGCTCACATTTGGTCTCTCAAATAAAACATTCTTATAGTCAAAGGAAAAGTTGGGAAATGCTCAATTTAACTAAACAAATGTTTCTACCTCTGTGGGTTTTCCTGAAGTCGGCAATTTCTTTTTCTGTTCTTCCAACTCTTCCTCTGTTTTGCCACAATCACTCAAAATTGTTAACTTTTTGTAATTCTCCAATGAAGAACAATCAAAATTTCTATTTCCTTCAAGATCCACGGCCTAAAAATTTTTTTAAATTAAAATATTTTTCCCTAAATTACCTTCAAATCAGGAAATTTACCGAGTAATTCACTTTCGGTAGGTAAATTTTTAATTTTATTATTAGTTAGACCAATAACATCAAATCCTCTTAATTTTGATTTTGGTACTTCCAAGCTTTCTAAATTAAGTGAGTGGCAGTGGACGGCCTGAAAATTTATATTTTTTAATAAATTAAAATAAAGAATGTAATAACTTTCAAAAAGGCAAATATAAACTTTTTACAATTTGTAATTCTTAAGAAAATATTTTTACAATTTGCAACTTTATAATGAACTTATTACAATTTGTAAAAAAGTTGCTAAATTTATTTTACCTTCCTGAAATTAATATAACATTTCCGGAAAAATAATAACTTTCCGGAAAGTTATATTTACAATTTGTAATCTTTTAAGAAAAGGTTTTTACAATTTGTAAACTTAAACTTTTTACAATTTGTAAAAAAGTTGTTATTATAATACCTTACTGAAATATAAACTTTCCGGAAAAATAAAAACTTTCCGGAAAGTTATACTATGTACAACTTCAATTCTTCCAACAAATTTTACTCTTATTTTTATCCAAATTTAAAATAAAAATTCATTTTCCAACTAATAATTCTTAATTTATTTACTTACAGATTCGTCAGTATTACACATACATCCATTTAAACAATCAAATATATAGGCTTTAAAATTTAAAAAATTTTAAGATTAAAATATTTAATAGTTTACCATTAATTGGGCAATTTTGTATAATACACAAAAATGCCAAAGTGAAGAATAAATTGATAAAATAATTATTAAACATTTTTATATCTTTCTGAAAAAGAATTTTATATTTTTTATTATAAATTATCAAAAATTTAAGAAATAAAAAAAAATTATAAACTTTCCGGAAAATCTAACTGCTGAAAAAAAATTTCTTTTCCAGAAGGAATATATTCTATTAAAACTTTCCGGAAAGTTCCCTATTTACATTTTTAATTATACTTATAAATAAACTTTCCGGAAACAGGTATAAAGTCTCATAAATTTCCGGAAAGTAAATAGTATATACTAAAATAATTTCCGGAATATTAATATATAAAACCTACGCCTATATAAAATAAAGAAAATTAAAAATAATAAAAATAACGATTTTAATTAAAAATAAGTAGAAAGGTAGCACTTGTCAACAAATTCTAAAACTCTCTCAATTTAATTTTTACTTTTATTCATTTATGTTTAGCAAACGGAATTGATAAATATTTTTAAAAAAAGTAAGTGGAGTGACTCATTGATTGTGAAAATTTTAGAAAAAAAAATAAAATAAAATTGTCTATAAAAAATGCCACATTTCCATTTTAATACTATAAAAAGGAAACTCTTAAATGAAGAGAAAGGGACACGCCCGAAACGGCGCGGGCCAAAACGGCGCGACCGAAACGGCGCGACCGAAACGACGCAGGCCGAAACGGCGCAAGGCCAAAACGGCGCACGGCCCAAAACGGCGCAAAAATTTCCCATAAGCTACATATTGTTACGTGAGGTTTAGCTCGAATGGTGATCGTATCTTTTGGTGATGTGAACAAAAAATAGCAGGTGTAAAGGTCCACAACATCTTGTGATAACAGAGTGATAACAAAAATTAAGAGTGATAACAAAACTATTTAGATCGTATACTTACTAGTAAGTATAACTGCGGGATTCAGATAGTTCCAATATAACTATATTACTAGTTAGTTTCCCCTATAACTACATATATTACTAGTTAGTTCCCCCTAGAACTATATAGTTATCCCCATATTACTACTGTAACCATCTAGACTTTAGTTATTTTTATTCTGGTCGTTGATGTCGGAACAGCCTTCACCGTTGTTGTAACAATTTTTCTCAACGTCTGAACGATCTTTCACATTGTTGGAACAATTTTTCCGTAGTGCGCAAAACCTTATTGCAGATTTTAAATAATTCGAAGTCAGTGTACGCAATGGTGGATAATGATCGATCACTAAGGTCAGATCGATAACAAATAGGTTGATCATAGAGATCAATTAATCAATCTCACAGTTGATCACATGATGATAACACGATTAATCACTATCACTGTGGAGTTTAGGGTTTGCGCCGTTTTGGGCCGTGCGCCGTTTTGGCCTTGCGCCGTTTCGGCCTGCGTCGTTTCGGTCGCGCCGTTTCGGTCGCGCCGTTTTGGCCCGCCGTAATGGGCTGTACCCGAAGAGAAAAATGATGAAGGAAAAAAATATTTTTGGTTATAAAATGTAAAGCAAAAAAAATAAATTTTATTAAATTTGTAGGGAAGAAAAATGGATTTTATTTTCGAAATTAAATTGAAAAAAAATTTTAAATAAAAATAAAAATTCTAGTAAAAAAATAAAATTTTGACTAAAAAATATTTTTTTGATTTTTATAAAATTAAAAAATCAATAAAAAAAATAAATAAATATATTTTGGATACTAAAAATTGAAAAAGAAAATTAGAAAAAGAAAAAGTTTCTAGAACGGAACATTAAAAGAAAAATAGGTATAAAAATTAAAAAATAAAACTTGGTTAAAAAACAAGTTTTATATTTAATAAAATAAACTTTTTCGTTCTCTAGCGAAAAATTAAAATTAAAAAAAATTAAAGTAAAGGGAATGGCACATAATGCACACATTAACCCTTTTTAAATAATTTAAAAAAATTTTTTCTAATTAAATTTTTTATTCAAAAAGTCTCGATAATCTATCTTTAGCTTGTGATTTTAATGATTTTTTCTTTTGTTCACTTTCACTAGTATTTGTACTTGCTAAAGAAGTACTTTCCTCAGAGCCGCTTAAAGGGGCCAAAATATGTATTTGTGTGCCTTTATTTCGATAAAATGTTGTTAAACGATCGCCAAAACGTTTTTCATTTATTGAAAGTTGTTTGGATGACTTTAAAAAATTTATAAAAATTTTTTGAAAAAAATAAGGAAAATTACATTTTCAGAAGCAACGTATTTGTATAGAGAAATAGAAGGATAAGGCAAATGTCCAAGCATTTTAGGAACTGAAAATTAAAAATAAACTTTTTACAATTTGTAAAAATATTAAAACTTTTTACACATTGAAAAAAACACATTTTACTAACAACAAGGCTAATTTTTACAATTTATTAAAACTTTTTACAATTTGTAAAAAGTTTAATATAAAAAAAGTTTTGCTTTTACAAATTGCAGAGTCAAATTTATAATTTTTACAATTTGTAAAAATAAAATTGAAATAATTTTTACAATTTATTAAAACTTTTTATAATTTGTAAAAAGTTTAATACTTAATAAAGTTTGATTTTTACAAATTGTAAAAATAATTAAACTTTTTACTAACTATAAAAAGCACAACTTTATATTATAATTTGTAAAAACTTTTCCTTTTCAATTTTTACAATTTATTAAAACTTTTTACAATTTGTAAAAAGTTTAATATTTAAAAAAGTTTCCATTTTACAAATTGTAGAATCAAATAATTTTTATAATTTGTAAAAACTTTTTCCTTAATTCTACAATTAAAACTTTTTACAATTACCAATAGAGAAAATAGCCTGTCCAACACCACTATCCTTAACTTTAGCTAATTTGTGTTTTTGTTGACAATACCATCCATTATTATTATTTAAATTTTCATTTTCTATACTAACAATAACAGTTTCAGCTTCAATTAATTTAGCCAAGGATCTTAATGATACAACAAAATCACAAGGTTGATCAACTCGACATAATAAAGATTGGGAATGTTCAGAATAAAAACGGGCACAAATTTCAAAATCAACCTGAAATTTTTTAAAAAATAAAAAAAATTAATTTTCAATTTTTCACCTTCGGAATAGTAAAATCCAATCGTTTTTCAATACAATATTCCTCAGATTCTATTAATCCTTTATTAATTTCACTATTTTTATTCTCCTTTTGATCAAGGCAGACAGTGTAAATAAATTTTAAAAAATGTGGAACTGGAAAGTTTCTACCAGCAGGGGATTCTGGTAAACGCCAAATAAAACGAAAAGAAGAATTTGGAATTATTGGCTGAAAGAAAAAATTTTTTTTTGAAAAAAAAGAAAAAATTTTTTCAAACAATTAAAGGATTTGGATTGAGTAATTTAGCTTCAACAGGCTCTAAGGCAATATTCTGTTCTTGATGTAATGTAATTAGAGTTGGAAGAATTGTAATTTGATTTAAGGGAGATTTTACAAATCGCCTTTCCACATCAAGAATAAAAATTGCATTTCCTGCTAATAAGGATGTAGTGCAATATAAACCAAATAGAGGTGAAAACTTGAGTTGTAAAAACTTTGTTACAATTGTTTCTAAAGCATTTTTCCATTCAAGTTTTAACTTTAAAAAGATAAAGTTTTACAAATTGTAAAATGTTGAAAAGTTATATTTTGAAAATTGCGAAAAGTTTTACATTAAATATTACAAATTGTAAAAAGTGTTAAATAAAATTTTACAAATTGTAAAGAATTTTAAATTGTAAAGAATTTTAAATTAAATATTACAAATTGTAAAAAGTGTTAAATAAAACTTTACAAATTGTAAAAGGTTATGAATTAAAGTTTACAAATTGTAAAAGGTTATAAATTAAATTTTAAAAATTGTAAAGGATGAATTTACAATTTGTAAAAGGTTGGATTTTAGAATTGTAAATTTAAACAGTAGGTTTCACAAATTGTAAAAGGTTCTAAATTAAATTCTACAAATTATAAAAACTTTAAATAAGGTTTTACAAATTGTAAAGTTTTATTTACATTTTACAAAAATAAACACACCTCACAATTTATGGATTGCAATTCCTCATTTCGTGGAGAACTGCTAACATTAGTAGAATTAATTGGCAAAACTTTATCAACAGTCATACATAATTCAATACACGTATTATAACTTTCATTTGGTTTAATAGGCGGAATTAAATGTTGAACTTTATCAGAAACCCATTTTCCTTCAGAATCCTAATTTTTAAAAATTAATTTTGAATATTTTTGTAAAATTTTACCAAAAATTGTAAATGTTTATTTTCAACTCCAACAAGTGAAAAAGAACAAAATGTATCATTTAAATAAGAATTTGTGCCAGAATAAAATTCAAGAGAAATTTTCTGCCTCATTCCTGCTGTTAATTCTTGAAAATCGCCTGAGGCTATAAAAATAAATTTTTTTATAATATTATAAAATTATCAACATTTATCCTTCACAGAAATACTAGGTTCTACTCTATCAACTAACAGAAAAACATGTTCCAATAAAACATTTCTCTCCATCTCAAGGCCATAATCAAGAATAAAGGTACATTTTGGAGTCATTGTATGAATTTGAATTGAACATAGTTGAAAACAACCAACATGTTTATTTTCCTGAAAAACTTATTCAGGTTTTGCAAATTGTAAAACGTTGAATTTTTAAAAGTAAAAATTTTTTGAAAATTGTAAAAATATTATTTTATATTTTGTAAGAAAGTTTTCAAGTTTTGCAAATCATAAGGTTATTAAATAATATTTTACAATTTGTACCATAAAAAAGTTCTTACGGTTTTACAAATTGTAAAAATGTAGATTTGTAAAAAGAAAAAAGTTTACAAATTGTAAAACTTTTTTTTTTAATTTTCCCAAATTGTAAAAAGTAGTTTGAAAAATTTTCTCTTTTTACAATTTGTAAAAAGTTTTAAACCTTCTACAAATTGTAAAAAGTTCTTTCGATTTTACAAATTGTAAAAAGGTGGAATTGTAAAAGGAAAAAAGTTTACAAATTGTAAAAAGTTTATTAAAAATATTATTGAACTTACAACATACATTAATTTTAAATATACACTTATTAACGCCTGGAACGATTAAATCAACATCTCCATCAACAATAATACAATCAACATTTTCATTTAAAATTTCTCCATTTTTATTATTATTTTCTAATTTTTCTTCTTCTTTAGTACACACAACACATTCCAACGAATAAATATTTTCATTCTCTTCAATTTGTAATTTTTGTTGAAAAGCAAATTTTTTAGTTAAAGGAAGTTGTTGGTTGTTAGATTTGGTTTTAATTAATTTTTTAAAAATTGTTTTAATTTTACAATTAGAAAATTGTAAATTAAAAGAATTGTAAATATCCAAAATAAGCTCTGAAGGTGAATGCAATGTAGAGCGAAAAAGTGGGGGTGAACATATTCTGATAATTTTTAATGGAAATGGAATAAATGGACGATATGAAGAAGAACCTATTTGATTGTTGTAATTTAACCAAAAGATATTATTTCTTTAAAAAAATTTTATGTTAATTAAAAAAATAGAATAAATAACCTTATTCTTTCCTGAGATGTTAATTTAGACAAGTAATCATGAAATTCATCAGTCACTGAATTTTTTAATAATGTTAGGAGAACAAGTATGCAATCAAATAACCTAGGGAAGAAAAAAAATTTTTTAACTTAATTAAAAAATTTTTTTTTAATTTTTGAATTAAATTTTAAGGACGACAAATAATTAATTCAATAAATAAAAAAAATAATTTTTATTAAAACATACAATTCACTGTCTGAATGTTCAACAGCACGATCTGTATAGTCATTCAAAAAATTTTTCAAATAGTCAACAACCTCTTGTACTTGAAATAATGAATCACCTGACAAAAGTTTTTTTAAATGTTGCTTCTCTCGGTTATATAAATCTTCGTTGGAATTACTAAAAAATAAAAATTTTAGCAATTGTAAAATCAAAAAAATTAGAAAAAAAAACTTTGAAATTGTGGAAATACAATTTTCCAAATTAACAACATGTCCCATCCAGTTATGCTTCTTGAAAATATTTAAAGCTTCAGACAATTCCTCGATTACATAAATTCTAAATTTTTCCAAATCTGTATTTGAATTACAGAAAAAATCGTTCAAAATTCGAAAAGATTCGGGAATAAAAATATTATTAGTGTCATCTTCTGTTGATAAAGGCAATGAAGTTTGTTGTAACCATCGCCTAACAAGTGTAACCTCTTGACTTTTTTTAGTATTTGTAAGTAGCAAGTACAAATTGTAAAGCTAGAAAAGAAAAATACTAAAAATAAACTTGTTTTACAATTTGTAAAAAAATAAGATTAATTCTTAACCTTACTTTATTTCAATTAGAAACTTTTTTCACAAATTGTAAAAATATTAAATATAAATCAACATATTACAAATTGTAAATAATTTTTTTACAAATTGTGAAAATAAAACTTAATTACAAATTACAAAAATAAAAACTTTTTTACAAATTGTAAAAAATAATAAAAATAAACTTGTTTTACAAATTGTAAAATAAAAATAACAACTTTTTTAAAATAATACACCTTTATACAAATTGTAAAAATAAAACTTTATATTTTTACGATTTGTAAAAAGTTGTTAAAAAATAACTCAAATAAAATATAAACTTACTGCTTCAACTTTCTTATGCAAAAGAAAAGCAGCATTAGAAGCACTAGCAGATTCCATCACTACCAATTCATCATAAACAGAATTTTTATTTTCCAATTCATAATCAACCGAAGAAAAAAGTAAATATTCAACAAATTTAATAATTTCTTCTTGCCAAAAAATAAAAATTAAATTTAAATGGAAAGAATTAAAATTTGTTGAAAGAATGTGTAAATCTTCTTCTAAACGTTGAAATGTTTCTCTAGATAAATTTAAAACTGTTGAAATACAATCGTGTCGAAGTTGTAAAGTATTTAATTGAGAAGTTGTTGTAGTAGAGGAAGGTTGTGAAAGGGGTTGTAGAGAAGAGGAGGAAATTGCTGAAGAATCTGTTGTTGTTATTGTTGTATTTGAAGTTGTTGAGTGTATTTCTGATAGTCCTTTAATTGCTAAAACTTGATTTGTTTGTATATTTTGATTTTCTTGTGAATGTTGTTGTGTTGAGGAGGAGGGGGTATTTGCTAAGTTTAATCTAGAAAAAAAAGTTTTTTGAAATTAATTCTGATTTGTAAAACAAGTTAATTCAAATTTACAATTAAGAAACAAACCAGAAATTAAGTTCATTTAAATTTACAGTTTGTAAACTTAAATGTATAATTCTGATATTTATTCAATTTTATTTATTTAATCAAGTTTATTTAATTCTGATTAAACAAACTTGTATATAATTGTAATTCTGATTTGTAAAAACAAGTTAATTCAAGTTTACAATCAGAATTTAAATCAAAAAACAAGTTTATTTAAATTTACAATTTGTAAACTTAAATTTAATAATTTTGATATCCATACAAGTTTATTTAATAAATAATTCAAGTTTATTAAAATAAATAAACTTGTTTATAACTGTAATTCTGATTTGTAATTTTTAATTTAAAAATTCAAGTTTAAATACCTATGGCTGAGTAGACTTGCAGAAAGCAGAATTTGATGTGAAAGTAAATGTGCATGTATTCTAACCAATTGCCAATCATCATTAGAAGAGTTATAAAGTTGTTGATTTAAGAGAATACAACATTTATCTAATGGAAGAGGGCGTAATTGTTTTAACCAATTTATTGAATTTAATGCTGAATCTTTTTTTAATTAAAAAATATTCTTTTGAAAAATTAATTTAATTTTAAACCATTTTTCTGAGCCAAAGCACGAATTGAATCAGCAAAAAAGCTAGTTAATGAATCCAACTCCGTCAAGGCTAGTTCAAAAAGTCCTAAACTCCAATAGAAAAGACACAATCTGAACTAAAAAATAAAAAAATTTTTGATACCGTAAATACTCCAATAGAAGCCCATCTGATTGTGAGCAGACCCATTGAAAAATATAAGCTCAGGGCTTTTATTAGAGTATTTACGGTATTTTTAAATTTGAAAATAAAAAATTTTTTTGAAAGCATTAATGGAAGGAAATATATTAAATAAATCCGAAATGGACACAAAAATTAGAACAAATCAAAAAAATTTTTAAAGTTGAAAGAAATTCTTTTTCCTTATTTCCTCCATAATTTAACTTATTTTTAAAATCCAAAATAAAATTTCAAAATAAAATTTAGAAAAATCCAAACCTGTTCATTAATAAAATTTGATAAAACAAAATTATCTTCATTTACAATTTCTTTCAATTTTCTAAGTTTATTAATTAAATTATTTGAATAATTGTCAAAGGAAGAAAATAAATTGTTTTGAAGTAAAGAAGTTAAAGTTGATTTTGATTTTTCTGAAGAAAATTCATTTGATTCAAAAATTCTGAAATTTAAAGATTTCTTGGGTGAAATAAATGAAAGGAAGTCAGACATTTATTGTTAGTCAGAAAAATACTCATAGGAAGGAAACCATTTTTGAAAATGTCGATGAGCCCTTTGACGCCAAAAAATTTAATTTTTAGTGTCGCTGGTCAAATTTCTGAAAATTTTAGAAGTCAGTTAACAATTTTCTGTATTTCCCCCATTTTGAGGTGGGAGAGAGGGAGAGAATTGGCTACGTGCCCAAAAGAGGTATTTATAAAATTCTGGTATGTAAGACATAAATCTACAAGCGTATTTTTCCTATTTAAATTCTTAAAAGTTTACTTGAAAATTCTGATAGCCAATCAAATAAATTAAAATGACCTACCTATTCTGAAACTTTGCAAAATCATTCTTCAATTTGTCATTTATTTGACTTCTATTCTTCTTATCTTTAACACGGGAAGAATCAAAAATAATTAGCCAAGATTGGCAATTAGCTTCTGTCAAATCTGAAAACCATTCAGAAATTTCAGGGCGGACAGAAATTCGGTATTCTTCAAAATTCTGGAAAAAAAAAAATTTTTTTTGATAATTTACAAAAAACCTTCGGAAAAATAAAATAAAAATGTAGAAAAGCAAATGTTGAAGGTGTATTATCATTAGAATTTCCATTTTTTATTATAAAACAGTCTGCATCAAACGCCACAAAGGAAGGTTGAAAACGAAGATTTAAGGGGAAATTTGATGTGTGGGAGTCTCTGAGATTTTTTTAAAAAAATTTTAAAAATAAATTTAAAAACCTTTTCCATTGTAGCACTCCATTCCCAATCGAATCCAAAATTATTTTTTGATTTTTATTGAAACATTCCTCGTTTCCATGCCCTGAAAATAGAGATTTTTAGAGTAAAATTAAAATAAAAATACATGAAATTCTTATCGGATCCTTCTTATTTGCTTTAAAAACAGGAAATTCTTGAGTCATTAACTTGTCTTAGTTCCTCTAAAACAAAAAAAAATAACCAAAAAATAAAATAAAAAACCCTATGTCCAAATGTAAATTTTTTCACTTATCGGCATTTTGTCGTTTTTCTTACTTGCTGGCATTTTGTTAAATTTTGTCGATTTTCTACTTGCTGGCACACAGCGGGTTAACGCGGACATAGCCATATCTCTCGCTTTTCTCTGCTTCTCTAACTTGCTCTCTTGTTTAAAGCATTACTCTCATCTATCTTTTTACCCGCAAAACTTTGAAATCCAATATCTCGGCTTAAAAACTTGAGTTTTTAAAAAAAATCTCGGATATTGTAGAAAAGGTCTTAATCAGTATCCTTGCAAAAAATTTTTTATTTTCTTGAACTTTTGCAAATTTTTTTGATGTTTTTCTGAAAAAATTTTTCGCAAAATTTTGAAATGAAAATTTTTTAGATTATCTAAGATAAAAAGCGAAGCTTTTGATACCATCCGATGCAGCTCGATGAGTTACGTCGAATCTTGCCAAATTTGAGTTTATAAAGCCAATTTAGGCTGAGATATGGCCAAAAATGTATAAAATTTCGCCGATTTTTAAAAAATCATAACTTCCCTAAAAGTGCATATTTTCCGCTCAAATTTTGCAAGTTTGTATATTAAACGTAGAACTACAAATTGGAAAATTTTAAAGAAATTTTGACCAGGGGCTCATTAGTTATAGGTGGTAAGTTAAGCGGTATGTCAACCTAAATATTAAGTCAAGATAACATGTGCAAGATCTACATTGTTTTTGTTCGTTTCTCATCCCTGAATCTAATAAAATCGAAATTAGGAAAAAAGGACAACATTGGATAAAGTTATGGCCAAAAATAGGCCGAATTTTGCTGATTTTCAAAAATTCATAACTTCGTTAAAAATGCATATTAGCTTCTCAAAATTTACAGGATCGTTTATCCACCTTAGGACTATAAAATTACAAAATTTGAAAAAATTCGGTTGGGAGGGCAAAAAGATATAGAATTTAATTAATACCCCTCATAAATGAGAGAATTTCTCTCTTTGACCATTTTTACATTTCTCACAACTGACCATTTTATAATTTTCCCCGTTAATGACCATTTCTTCTTTTTGCGTATAAACAGGTCGTTTTGCGAATAAACGGGTCGTCTTCGCGAATAAACAGGTCGTTTTGCGAATAAATGGGTTTCTCTGGCTATGTCATGTCTGTCAACTGAGTTAACCCGCTGTGCTGGCATTTTGTTAAATTTACTTATTTGTGTTTCAAAATTTTCTCTAAATCTTTAACTAAACACTATTTCTCTTTAATTAATTTCTTTGGTGTGGCAAAAAAATAATTTCTTGAATTTTGAATAATTTCTTGAACTTGACGAATTGAATTTTGATATTTTGTAATTTCTCTTAGACTTTATTTTATTTTGTCAAATTATTTTGGTGTCGAGGTATCGTTCTTGCTTTTAATTTTTATTCATCAAGGTTCGAGCCCCTTTCGGTATTTTTATTTTTCTTCTTCTCTTTTTCGTCTCTTTTTACATTTTCTACTTGTTTGTTTGTTTTAAATTAATTTTATTTAATCTTTTATAGATGTTAGACTTCTGAAGAAAATTATTTCTTGCCTCAACAACAATGGAAAGTCAAGAAAATGAAAATTCTAAAAGGCGAATATCAAAGCCTAGAGTTCAATATTCACCAGTTACTGAAGCAAAGCGAAGTTATACAAAGAAGACAAAGTTTCCTTTTAATTTTTTATAAATTTTCATTCATTTTAAGGCAAAAATTTAGCGTAAAACGTTTAAATAGTTTGTTTAATGATTCTTCATCAACCTATTCAACGAGAGAAAGTTCGGTAGATGAATTTTTTGGTTATGATGTTTTGTCTCAATTTGACTTGAGTAATCAACTTGTATCGATGAAACAAATAGATTTTGTTTTGCCTCCATATCCAGACTTGAGGGATTCTCAAGAATTAGATTTGGGGGTTGCTGAACATATTGAAAATTTTCTGGATGAACAAGAAGAGATTAAATTGTTGGAATCAAATTTGTTTGAAAATGATCATGTGGTAGAGCAAATGGAAATTACTCAAGCGGAAGCTGTCGAACAAATGGAAATTGAAGGTATTTTGTGTTTGTTAAAATTTATCTTCCCTCTATTGCTTTCTCCCTTCCATTTGGACGTGTTTCGAACAAATTCTTCTGGGACAGTTTTATAGGTACTCTATCTACGGTTATCCATTCTAAATAGGTTGGGGGTCCGGTCCGAAAGATCGAGTCGGGCATCAAATTTTGGCCCGACTCGAAAACCCCAACCCTAATTCTAAATTTGCTCTGAGGATCTTATTTTAGAAAACATTAAAAATCAAAAAAAACTTTGATCGTCTAGTGAATTTGATTTTAACTTCCACATTTCATTAGATACTTGGTCTTAATATCTTATATAAATAAAGATTCTCTATTTTAAAAATGTCGTAATAATAAGCTTACACTTAACTCCCTAAAAAATTATTTTTTTTTTATGTCAGAACCCTCCACTTCTGTCTTACAATTACAGCATCAAGAACCTCCCGCAGAAGAATCAACATCATCTTCACAACAACCATACATTGAACCAACAAATTCAACTTCTTTTCCAGTCGAATCTGTGGGTCAAATTTCCCCCTCGAAGCTTGAACGTCCTCCTTATCATTCAAAATTGAAATTAAAAATAAAATTGCCTAGAAAGCCAAATACAGGTTTTTTTTATAAGTTTTAAATTTAAATTAATTTTTCTTTTTAAAATTTAGTCCAAACAGCAATTGATAAAAGGACTAGAAGACCAACCAAATTTTCCGAAGATTTTGTTTTTACTCCATTAGTAATGCAACGGAAAAGCAACGATGCACTAAAAATAAAACAGAAGGCTATAATTAAACAACAAGAATCAAAAGCAGAAAGAAAACGTTTGTAAATTTATTTTTTTTTAATATTTTTTCACAAATATTTTAAATTAATATTTGAAAAAATTGAAGGGATCATTAAATTTTGAATGTCGGATTGCGTGGACTATCTTGAAATAATTTTCGCGGGGGCAGACTAAAAATTTCCAATTTTGCTACTTCTACTCCCAATAGATTTTTTGTTTCCCCATTTCATTTGAGAGGGTGTAGATTCATTTGCCATTTAAATACACTCATTCTAGTCTGGCATTGTATTAATCATTTTTTCCTATTCCGTGTTATTTTTAGTTTTTTTGTTTGTAAAATTACTCGGATATGATAATCTTTCACTTTATTAAATTTTTAAAAACTTTACATTTAAATGGTGATAAAACCATTTAAATGTAAATAAAACCATTAAATATAATTTTTTTGTAAATTTCCAGTTAAACGAAAGGAACGTCAAAAAGCCATCTCTTCATTTGTCCCTTCAATACCGCCTACTATACCAGAAGAAAATCAAAGTTCTCAAGTAAAACCAGAACCTCAGCCGGAGCCGATACCTGTTGAGAGAGAACGTTTGGAATTTTTTTAATCTTAATTTAAAAATCCTTAAAAATCCAATTTTTTAGGTTCTCTAAAAATTCCTGGAGTTTCTTACGTTCAAAAAGAATTTTTTTCAATGATGGCTGACAGAAAACGATTAAATCCTTTCTCAATTGGAATAAAAAAATCGGAACAATATATTTCTGATTATTTTTATAGAGAAATGTTTATTAGGTTTTTTAAATTTTTTTTTAATTTTTTAGAAAAAATTAATTTTTAAGTGATTCTGACAATGAAACTGAAAAAGACAAGGATAAGATTGAAGAAAATTTGGATGAAGAAATAATTGATTGTGTTGGTGGAGGGGTTGATTTAAATGAATATGTTAATGATGAAGTGATTAAAATTAATCCGGCTGACGAATTTGCAGAAGCTGTGTGTTCGGTTATGAAAAATGCTTCTTATTCGTTTGAGGAAGGAGATGAAGATTTTTTGAAAATTGCTAATGAAAGGTTCTTTTAGAATTTTAAGGAGCTTTTTAATTTTTCGGGGTTGACATTCTGGAAAGGTTCTTAAAATTAGCTACACTCCCGGTTTCACTGAAATTTTTGATATAAAAACAGACTTGCGGTCCAACTTTCAACGGCCATAACTTGGCCCAAAGCGATTTTGCAAGAAAACGGATAACACTTTGCAATAGGATCTAGTGTTCGGCAAATGGATTTTTTCGGTACCGGTACCGGGATTACCGAAAATTCCCGATACCGAAAAGTACTGAAATTTCCCAAAATCTGTTCGGGACGGTTCCGGTTCCGGGAGTACCGAAAATTCCCGACTCGGTTTTTCGGGAGTACCGAACCGTGCCGAACACTAATAGGAACTCGATGGTGCTTTATCGGATGGTACCAGAAAATATATTAAATTCGCAGTCACAGTAAAGGATGGTTCCTTGTGAGTAGATGGGATCGGCTTATAAGAGGGTGGCTCATTGTAGATCATGAGAAATGGCGCTGTCGCTTAAAAAATTAATTTCCAAATCCTGGTTGGATTCTTTAAGCCAAAAATCCTCTTATATTTATAATTTCTACTTTTAAATTTCTTTTTTAAATTTTTTAATTTTTAGAATGTATTTATTGGAAGAAGGCACCAAAGTAGTCTTAAATATACTTTTAAAATATATTATTGAACAAAGACATGTTGATGCTTTTGTGTTGGGACTAGCTGGAGGTGCTTCAATATTTCATTCATTAACTATGAAAAATGCTAATCGTCTTAGAGAATCACTTAAACTTTATAGCAAGGTTTGAGAAAAAATTCTTTTTTGTTGAACTGAGAACCGAACAGAAGAATTGGGGTAATATTATCCCATTAACAATTCGAACTTCAATCAGAATCTAAAATTTAAAATTAACTTATAGCTTTATTAAACTTATTTTTGAAGGGTTTTTCCTGTAGGCCCGTAACCAGGTTAATTCCCCTCCCCTTCTCTTTCAGAAAAATCCTGGTTACGGGCCCAGTCCCCTAAATAATGATGAAAAGTGATAATCGTTTAACTTCCTTGTAATTTTAGTTCCTTATACTTTTTTGTTAAAGTATGTTAAACTGATTTAGGATATAATTTACTTAATTGCCTGGTTTCACCTTTCGATGTTTAACGGTTATGATTCTTTACTGACTGAATATTTTTTGAAAAAAAAGAAAAATCCCCTATTTTTTCAAAACTTTGCTTTCCTCCAAAAATACTTTTTTCAATTAAAATATTTTTTTTTATTAAAGTCAAGTCAACAAGCAATAATTACAGCTCATAATTGGCTTTTGAAGAATTTACCAGTACATTTTATTGCTTCCTATTTAAATTTACTTCGATTTCTTAAAGCAGCGGTATTTTTTAATTTTATTTTTCAGGAAAATTATTTTTTTATTTTTTAAGGGAAGTAATTTAAGTGATCATATTGTTCGTTTTAGCGATGAAAATTGTATGTTAATTGCAAATAATTATATAAAAGATTTTATTGCACAAAAAATTTATGAACCTCCAATGCATCCAAATTATAAACCTTTGGAGGTTTTTTTTTGAAATTTTTTTTAATTTTTAATTATTTTTTTAAATAGTATGGCCCAATAAATAATGTTAGTCTTATTCTTGTTTATCCTCAAATTACTGTAAAGACGTCTAAACATTTTATTAGAGCACATGAAATTTTGTTTAGGTAAATTTTAATATTTTTGTGTTTTTATTTTTTTCTTTCGGATTGACTTTCAAGCCCAAAACCTAAAAACGTTTGAAAGCCGCTTGATAGTTACCCAATTCTTTTTATGAAAATTAACTATAAAAATTTTCAAAGTGTGTTAATCTTTGAAGCTTTGGATGGGTCGAGTTGATAAAAAAAATTTTTCGAAAATTTCTTGGGGCAGGTTTTAAGTCAAGTTTAGGTTAATAATTAAAGTTAATTAAGGTCTGTGTTTAGGTTAATGCCTCCCCTTCCCAGTTATATACCTTTTTATAAGAAAACTCTTCTAATATTACTCCTCTAATATTTTTACTCCTCTAATATTTTTAACTCCTCTAATATTTTTCATGTCCTTCATTTTTCAATCGCTTAATTAGAGTGTGCTTAATTAGCTAGAGTGTGTGTTTCTATTAGAGGGTTCACAATTTTTGCATTGTTTAATTATATTAATTTAATTTTTAAAAATTTTTTAAAGACAATTATTACCTCAAATTGTTTGTTGTGTTGAAAAAATAGAATTACATTTTGATGTTAATTGGACATCAATAACAGTTGAAGAAATTGCTTGGATGTGTATTAGATTAATTAGAAAAAAAGTTAGAGAAATTGTTAAAAGACGGCCAAATGATCATATATTTTTAGCTGGTTGGGGAACTACTTGTTGGCTAAATCATAAAGTAATTTTGTAAAAAAAAATTAAAAAAAATATTTTTTAAAGGTTATTTCTAAAGTTTCTGGTGTTTCTGGACTTTTAAATTTTGCTTTTCCAACAGAAAGTGCTTGTGGTTCTAGAGGGGTGAATTTTTTTAATTTGTTAATTTCATTTTTTTGGTGGGAAAAATCTTTTTTTTCTATGAGTTTTTTTGAGTTTTAAAATTTCAAAAAAATTTCGTATACTTTCAAAAAAATTTCGTATAAAAAATTCCATATACTTTACCCAAAAATTCAACTCAAATTCTCCTCCGAAATTCGAACCTTTACCCCTACACAATTACATTTCCGTCGCTTTACCCACTCGGCCAAGCAGCAGCTTCATTAATAAATTAAATTTAATAACCTTAATTTAATTTCTAAAATAGAGTGTTGATGATGAAATTTGTTTAACTTACCCTTCCACCCTTTTTGTTGTTGGAGAAGAAGCCTCAAATGTTAGTATGAAAGCTATTCAACAATTGAGAAAAAATATGATTGGTTTATTTTTTAATTAATTTTAAAATTTTTTTATTTTTCTAGCTGATACCGGTTTAATTGTTATTGGAAGTGCAAATCATAATTTATTAGTTTCTGAGGCTAGATTAGCTGTTGAAAGGGTTACACAATTTGTTGTTCAAAGAACTATTGTGGTAAAAAAAATTTTTTTTTCTAATATTCTTATAAAGTCTTTGGCTTTCTATTTCCTTAAAACGAATGCTCTAATAAATGCCCACTCTCTAATAGAAGCCCCTGTCTAATAGAAGTTTTCTCAATGGGCGTTTATTAGAAAGTGGGCGTTTATTCGAATATTTTTGGTAATTTATATTTAAATATATTTTTTAAGGAATATACAATCCAATTCTTGAAACAAGTAATTTCTGATTTGGGTCCACCAAAACAATGCCGCGAATTTTTGACTCCCGTCAGTTTGCCAAATATTCATGAAATTGATGTTGCTTTTCTTAAACCTATTGGTGCGCAAAGAATTAGAAAACCTGTGGAAAAGAAAAAGGAGGATACAACAAAGTATATAATTTTATTGTTACTAAAGCTTCTAAAAGAAAAGATGGGAGAAATTTGCGGACAGGATTTGCGGACGTCCGCATCTTTGTTTTGTTTTTTAAGATCTTGGTCTAAATAAACAACGTTTTTGGGCCAAATAAATAATTAAATTTGCGAAAAAAAAATTTTTAGATTGGAAAATTAATGGGAAAATTAAATGAAAAAATCAATTATTTTTTTCAAATTTCCTGCTAATCAACAAACTTTTTAATTTTTTTTCAGAAAATTCAACAACAAATTTTCTTTCCCCAATCCACCACAACCACCATCTTCTGCCCCACCAGCCAAAGCAACATTTAAACCAACACAAATAGCTTCAAATTTACCTCCAAATCTAAAACCTATAGCCCCAACAGAAACTTCAAGACCTTTAAATACATCAACAACACGTTCTTCTTCCTTTTCTGTCACTAAAAAACTTTCGACAGATTTAATAAAAATTCCAAGTCCAGAAGCATTAAATAAAATGCATTTACAAATTAGACAACAAACAACAACAACAAGTAATCATCAAATAGCTACTACATCCTCTTCAAGTCTTCAAGAAACAATTAGAGAGGAGGAAGAAGCTGCGGCGGCACTGGCACTTTTAAAATAAAAATTTGAAAAAAAAAATTTTGAAAAAAAATTTTTTGAAAAATTTTTTTTTGATTGATTTTACCTGCCACAAACATTGAAAAATCCCCTGTTTATTTTTGAATGTGTGTACAAATAAAAAAAGTTTGAATGTTTTTAATTTTTAAGTTAAATATATTTTTGTGGGGGCAATTATATTGTTTCTGATCAAAGCTGTTGTGAATTAAAAATCTTCAAAAAATTTAAATCGAAAAGAAAAAATTACTCGAACCCCGAAACTTCGAAACAACTATTGTAAACCTGTATTAACTACCCTGGGTAATTATTGTTTCGATCTCACTGTAGGGGGTAATAAATATGGATGGGGTAATTATTTAATGGAGGGTCACTAATACAGTTTTTACGGTATGTTTCTGATAAAATACCTTTAAGAAATAAATTCAAATTTAAAATCTAAGTTAATCTTCTTGTGAATTCTCCCAAATTTTTTAAATTTATTTTCCATATAAAATAGCCCTATAAAATAATTTTCAAATTTTCTATTAAAAAATGCCAAACACATCAAACAGAGAGAAAAGGGCGGTGTTTCTCTTTATTTTAGTCAAAAGTTTGATTCATTGCCTTGTTGATAAGTTCTTTCGGCAACAAATGAATATACCTAATTAACTATCTATTGAAGGGAGTATAAAACTGATTATTTTAAAAATTAATTGTCATTAAATAAATTTTTTGGGAAATAAGTTTTTATAGAAAAAATATTTTTAATAACCATAAAGTTTTTTTAAAAATTATTTTCTATCAGATTCTGATATCTTAAAAACATTTTTGTATTTTTAAAACTGTAACCCTTCCACTTGATATTCACATTCATTCTGGTATGATTCCTAATTCAACTGCAAAGCAACAAACTTCCTTTAATTCTCAAACTATGCAGCAGAGTGAATATTCTACGCAACAAGTAGAAACATCTGGCATTTATGATAACACGTAAATCATTATGCTTTTGGGTATCTATACTTATGGAAGTCCATCGTTGTATTTCCAATCCTATTAAGCCAAGCAAAAATGGAGGGTTTCTTGATAAGGTGATAGTTGAGCGGTTAACAACTCTCCATCGGATAGCTTATAATTGGTCTAAGAACCGAATCCCATGCAATCTTTTACTAATTTTCTTGGATGTATCTGGCCGATTTACCCTTAGAATCAGACTAATAATTTTTTTTTCTAGTTTGGTATACAAAACAGCTGAAGTTACTATTACTCAGCAGGTTTTGTTTTTTTCTGACAAGAAACGAAATTTAACCTTCTAATTTAGTATATTATAATGCCGCAACCTGAGGCGAATTCTCTTAGTCAACAGCAACCAACTATTCCATCTACCACTCATACTACAGAAAAGCTTTTTTCTCCAAGTCAAAGTGTTATCCAAACCGAGACTATTATTAATGCTTCTATTGGAGTGTCCGTGGCTGTAGTTTCGAAGCCGGTTTTTAACTTTCTATCCCAAATATGAAAGATATTAAAGAATTTTCAGAGTAATGTTAGTGCCTCAAACAGTGGAGGAAATTTGTTGTCAGTCAATGCTTCAAGCAAACAGACAATGTCTGTGGAAACAAAAAAGAATTCGGCTGTTAATCAAGAGAGTATTGAATCTTTCAATTTTGGATCCATACCTGCTACTTCTACACCACGCGGCACGCGTGGTGTTAACGGTACTTTGGTTTTGTTAAATCCACTAACAAATAAGGATTTAACTTTTTCGGATTTCTTTTTTATTTCCAAAATAGAAGAAATCTTGGCCTTCTAAAATTCTCAAAATTTTCCCGGATCCCGTGTCGGGATCCGGGATCGGGATTACCATTCCAAAATCCCGATCCCGGGTTTTTCTCTAAATCCCGATACCGCTTAACTCTACTTTTAAATCAACAGTTTGGATTGAAAATGAAATTGGGGACAAGTTTCATTTTCAAAATTAACAAGTTTCATTGAAAATGAAACTTGTTAATTTTTAGTCTTGAGCTTGGGGTCAAGTCTTGGTCTCGAGTCTTGGAAAATTTTCGGTCTCGGACGTCTCTAGTAACTATACTAAAACTTTGGATACTTTATGGGAATAAGTATAACTATTCCAATACTCACACCCATTGTTGACATAAAGCAGAGCCGGGTACTTATCGCCATGATAAGAACATAAACATGAAGAAAGTTATAAAAAATTTTTTTTGTGGTACTCATTCTGATATTAATTTTACAATTTTTAGCTCCAATTCCTTCTGATCAACATTTAATGTCAATAAATCATAATTCAGTGTTTGGTTTGTCACCTATCTTGTCTCCTAATTATGTTTGTTTGTTCAATAATTTCTCCTATTTTCCATAGGCTATAGCCTCGTATAGCCTCGTTTTTGCGGATTATTACCTAGTAATCCGCAAAATTTCAATGTAGGAAGAACGATTTACACTCAACGACCGACTTGTAGGAGTAGTGTAAAAATCTTGTTTAACAAATATTTTCTGAGTTTTTTTCATTAGACTTTAAACTAAATATCCTCATATTTACTTCCTTAGAACAAAACAAGGTAGTTTTCCCAAAGTAGTTTTGCGGACTCCTTTTTGCACAGAATGGTCAAAGCTTCTTCCGCCCAACAAAGCAAGAAGGTTCTTCCTTCCTCGATTTTACTCAATTTTCCTTGTGGCTTCATTTAATGAGAGCACAGAAAAAATGATAAAATCGAAATAGAAAGAAAGAACCTTTGACCATTCCATGCAAAAATGAGTCCGCATAAAATGTCCGCAAAAACTACTTTAGAATAACCAATAAGTACGCAAAACAATACTTCAAAACAAATCATCAGTAGGGTTGTCGGTTTCACCAAATTAACCGAAACTGAATTAAAAATCTTCGGTTTTTCGGTTCGGTTCGCTAATCATAAGGTTATTTATTCTACTATCATAGCGTAAGGATGTTGAGAAATGTTTTCAAAAAATTAGGGGAATATTGTTAAAAATATGATTAAAAACAAAAATATTTTTAAAAATCTATACATAAAATTTTAATTATTTACAGCAAAAAAATAATCCATTGTGTTCTTGGCTAGAAACAGAATCTAGCTCTTTTGATGAAATCGTACGTAGTGGAATAGAATCTTGTCATCGGTCGAAAAGATTTTCTGGAGCCGATACGAGTTTTTCTCCATTTATTACGCCACAAAAAAAAATTATTAACAAGAATGAAGAAAAAATATTGATATTAGAAGAAGAAAATAGAAAATTGAAAAAAGAAATTTTAATTTATAAGGAAGAGTATATTCCAGAATCTATTAACGTGTATGAAGAAAAACAAATTTCAGAAGAAAATAGAAAATTAAAAAAGTTGTTGACACGAGAAGGTGAAGAAAAGAGGATTTTAGAAGAAGAAAATAATTTTTTGGTAAAAGAAACTGAAAATTTAAATGAACTGTTGTTGGAAAAATGTCAAGAAAATGAAAATTTAAAAGAAGAAAAAAATGTGTCAGATGCTGAAGCTATATTATACATGCGATTCAGCAAAGTATTGCTTGATAATAATAATACTTTAAATGATTGTCTTAAATCCCAACAACATTTGAATACTTTACTCGAGAAAAATGCTATGGAAAAGGGAGAGATTGAAAAGGTACACCAACAATTAAGTGATTTTAACAACAACAAAAAGAAGATAAATAAGTATGTTTTTTTGTGTTTTTAAAGGAAAATTCTTTTTTTTTTGAATTGGAATTTTGAATAATCCCCCTTCTTCCTTCTTCCTCCCTCCTTCCTTCTTCCTTCTTCCCTCCCTATCCACTAGAGATCGAGCTGGACCTGGACCAAGGCTTGGGGTTTTCCTGTGCCAAGAGTCCAAGCCCAGATCCAACCCCCTCTTCTTCTTCCCTCCCTATCCACTTGAGATCGAGCTGGACCTAGACCAATTGCTTAAGGTTTTCCTATGCCAAGAGTCAAGGCTCAGGCTTTTCAAAAATCTCGAACTCTACTATTTATCCACCTGCCCCTTCCTTCCCTCGTTATTTGAATAAAGAGAAACACACACCTTCCTTTTTACAAATCTATATTTTATTATGACTCTGATTTGCCTCTACTATTAAGGTTGGCGAATCAAAACAAATTATCGGGTATTTCCTTCTTGAAATTTGGAATAAGCCATTCCTAACAGATAATTTACAATATCCGGGCTTTTTCTCGCCGGGGTTCGTCAATTTCCAATATTAACTATAGAAATAGAAGAAATAGAAGAAAAATAATAGAAGAATATTAACTATAGAACTATAGAAAAAAATTAAAATTATTGTCTAATAATAATAATAATACATTAATAAAAAATAATAATTAAAAAAAAAGAATTAAAAAAAAAAGAATTTTTAAAAAACACAATTTAACTAAAACACAGATTTATCCACTCATTCTTTTATTTTTTACAGATCTAAAATGTTAGATGATAAAATTTTAGGGTGTGTTTCTCCTTATTTATTTTGTGGTGATAAAGGTAAAGTTTTTTTAGTCTCCTAAATTTTTAAAATTTATCTTAATTCCTTAAAATACCCCGTATTTTTTACATCCTACTACGCTTTGGAATAACGATAATTACGGAAATATACCTTAGTTCGTTCGTTTCCGTCGGGCTTAAATTAAAATCGAAGGTACTTTTCGGTTCTGCCACACCCCTCCCATATATTCGCAGGCTATTTTTTATATTTTCCCTTCAGTGTACAGAATGGTCAGACTTCCTCCTTTCTAGGGGAAACTCCACACATTCCTTTATATTTCAATTAAATCTCTGGCCCCGATGGGTGTCGTGTAGTTAACTTCCATTATATAAAAAGTAAACAATATGCCGATACTTCTTCATCATCCCCCTTTTCTTCCATTTTGCCCTATCCATTTTAAGCCTTTTTGCCTGATATTAAATCTATTATATATAATTCGATCGAAGGATATTAAGATGGGATAAGGTTTGATGCTTCTGAACAAATTTAAGAAGCTAAATCCTCGTTGGATGAGTTAAATCCTCGTTTCAAACGACTCAGATTGAAGAGCTCTTTCGAATTATATACTGTAGATGCTCTATTAATTACTAGGGTTTCACCGGAAGTTCCGGTTCCGGTTCCGGTTCCGGAAAGTTCCGGCCTTTTTTTGGTTCCGGTTCCGGTTCCGGGAACCGGAACTTAAATTGGTTCCGGTTCCGGTTCCGGCCTGGTTTTCAAATCGGTTCCGGGCAAACCGGAACTTTTTTACACCCCTAAAGATTGATTTTTTTAAAAATATGGGTTGGTCTTCCCCGGCTGGCGTTACAATATTCTCAAAATTTTCGCGTGCGGCGCAAGAAAAGGAAGAAATTTAGCCTTGTTCTCACGAATTCTCAAAATTTTCGCCTGCGGCGCTGTTAAATGAAGTCTATATCGGAGGATCTGGATGGATGAAGGTGTATTTTAAGTTACATATATCATAGGCAGTGGTTGGAAGCTCGTACCAAAATTCGTACTCGTACTCGTACCTGTGTACGAAGTACGAGTACGAGTACGAGCAAAAAAAATGGGCAGGTACGAGTACGAGTACGAGTACGAGAAAAAAAATAAGACCTGTACGAGTACGAGTACGAGTACGAGAAAATAAAACAGGCCGAGTACGAGTACGAGCAAATGGACTCGTACCTCTCGTACTTTGATATTATATTTTTGAAGGAAAAGGGAAAGGAATATTTATAATTTTTCCCATTTTTCCTTTTGGTTGATCGATGGTTGAGTGGTTAGGTTGACTGACTTCACTCACTTAAATATTTTGGTAGTGCTGGGTTCGAATCCAATGTTGGATGTGAGGCTTAGAAAACTTTTCTTTTTAAAATAAATGTCCTTAAACTTTGATTATGATTTTTAATTTTTAAATTTATTTTTTTTAATATTTTAAACTTGAAAAAACTTTAAAAATTTGAATTTAATCATGAATTTTTCAAAATTTTCGCCTCCGGCGCAGAAAATTAAGAGTTCTGGTTTCATGATCATCTAAACTTCAAAAAAAATTATGCCTGCGGGGTTGACAATTGAATTTTTTCTCCTAAAGCCTTACAAAATTCTCAAAATTTACGCCTGCGGCGCAGGAAATGAATGAAATAGAAGGATTTATGGCTTCAAAGCCTTCCAAGAAACAACAATTATCGTATACGGCCCTAAAAATTAAGAACTATATGCAGTTTACCCCAAAAATTCACAAAAACTTCGATTTTTTGCTTTTTTCTCAAGTACGAGAAAGTACGAGGTACGAGTACGAGGTACGAGGCCAAAAATAGGGCTTGTACGAGTACGAGTACGAGAAAAAAAATTAGGCAAGTACGAGTACGAGTACGAGGAAAAAATAAGGCATGTACGAAAGTACGAGTACGAGTACGAGGTAAAAAAAGGCCGGTACGAAAGTACGAGTACGAGTACGAGCAATTTTCAAAATTCCAACCACTGATCATAGGTCAAGGGGTCATAGGATTTTGGAAGATACTGGGGGGTCAAGGGGTCATAGGATTTGGAAGATACTGGGTGATTTCGTGTACCAAGAGTTAAAATGGTATATAGGTGATTTGATATCTAGGGATCTGTTGGGATGAATGATAATTTGAAGAAATTTGGGGATCAAAGGGGAATCATATAATTGGTGTGGTATCGGGCATATCATGGGATTTTGGTAGAACGGTTCGGTTTTACGGTTCGATTTTGGTTAACCGAAAGTTTCGATTCGGTTAGTCGTTTCGGTTAACAAAATAATTGGGCTAAACCGACAAACCTACTTTGAATTCAAATTTCTTTTAATTTTTTTTTTTAATTTTTTAAATTCGCTAGAAATTTAATTAAAGTTCCGGTTCCGGGCCGGAACTTTGAAAAGTTCCGGTTCCGGTTCCGGGAACCGGAACTCAAATTGGATCCGGTTCCGGTTCCGGTCATAATTTCGGTTCCGGTGAAACCCTATTAATTACCCCCTCCAGCGAGGGGTCGAAACAATAATTACCCAGGGTAATCATCAGAGAATTTCGGTATAATTTGCCATAAAAAGAAGGAAAAAGTGAAAAAATTACGGGAAAAAGGAGGGATGGTCAGGCAAAGTATTCCCAATATCCCCCCTTTACCTACAAAAATTTGAAAAAAATATTTATTTTCAAAATTAAAAATTTAATTTTTTTAAGAAAATAATCCTGCCTTACAAACGTGCAGCATTAAATCAATTTTAAAAAATACAGGAAAGGTCGACAAATCGAATTATAAAAGAATTTCTTTCTCAAAATATAAAAATATATTTTATATTTAAATTTGTGTTTTTATTTTGTACTAATTTATTAACTCTTTAATTTTAAAAGACGGTTCGATTATTTAAATATTTTTGATATTTTAAAATTAAGTTTTTATATTTTAATTGTTGGGTACAGCTCGGCGCACGCCCAAGTAGGCGCAAAGCCGTAACTTGCTTCAAAATTTCCGAATCTTTCAAAATTTATTATTAAACGATTCCTCTCATCGAGCTAAAGAGATTGGTACCAAAATTGTGGAGGTGCAGAAATTTTCCAGCTAGTTATGGCTCTGCGCCTACTTGGCCGCGCGCCTACTTGGGCGTGTCCCTTAATTTTTTTCTAACTACCTAATTTATTTCATAATAAAATTTTTTTCTTCTTTTTTTGTTTTTTTTTTATTTGGTATGTAGATTGAAAGCCTTTAAATATTTTTTTGTTATTCTAGCAATAAGTATACTCTAAAAAATACTCGTAAATAGTAACTTGCAAAATCATTTTCCGGACCCGGATTTTTGGATTTAACACTCATGCCCGACCAGATCCGGTCGGATTTTTCCGGATTAATCCGGTCCGGTTAGAGTCCGGAAATCTCAAAAAACCCGGATTTGGGACCCGGACTCCGGAAAGTCCGGCCATAATCACTACTCGTAAATGTCCTGATGGAAGTTTAAATTGAAGAATGAAGATCCTTGATTTCTATTAGAGAATATTTACGTTAAATTTGGGGCAAGAAATTTCAAAAATTTTTTTTTAATTTGCCAGAAATTCCAGCGAATTTGTTTGCCTTATTTGACTTTTTTTAGAAAATATTAACTTATCCAATTTGTTTTTTAAATGGCTGTTAACGATGAAAAGAAGCCTCACAGAGGTTAATTTTATTTTTGAAAAAAATTTTTATAAATTAATTTTCCTTTAAAGTTCACAAAACTGGAAAGAAAATCAAAAAGAAAACTGCTCAAAATATTTCTGGAGAAAGAGGAAATAATTCAAAAGCGTTCAAATTCCGTTCTGCTCTAAAAGCTCAAAAATTGATTCGAAAGTTTGTTTTTAAATTTATTAAAATTATTTTTTAATTTAAAGAGCAGCAGATTTGAGCGAAAAAAAGAAGCACATCCCCATTGTTGAAAGACTTGTAGACACTCCTCCGCCTTTGTTTGTTGCGATTGTTGGACCTCCAAAGGTTTCTAATTTTTTAAAGAAAGTAATTTTCATGACTAATTTGTGAATAAGTCAATTAAAGATTAGGTATTTTGTTGACTTTTTCCGATCAAAAAGGTGCGAAATAGTTGAAAATTGAGCTGGGGAATTGATTTTCGTTCCCCAGCTCTGGTAAAAAAACCTTGTAATTTTGATAAATTTACAAGTCTCTCTTTACTAATTTTAAGCCTTTGTTCCGGTTTTCCTAAAATATTCTTTATTTTTACCTTATTTTCAACTTCAAACTATCTAGGTTTCTTAATAAATTTATCTGAATTTTAACGTTGCAGCTCTCTTTGCGGACATCTTTTGCGGATTTTTTTTCTTTTACAATTTTCTATCTTTCTAAAATTTGTTCCTTTCTTCTCTTAAATTATTAAAATTATTTTTTTTATTTTAGGTCGGAAAAAGTTTACTGCTTCGCTGTCTTATAAAAAATTATGTTAGGCAGTCAATTACAGAAATTAAAGGTTTAGAAATTTATTTTCTAAATTAATTTATTTAAATTTATGTTTAAGGTCCAGTAACAATCGTTACAAGCAAAAAACGTCGAGTAACATTTTTTGAAGTTCCGAATGATATAAATGCTATGGTTGATGCTGCTAAAGTTGCAGATTTGGTTTGTTTTGTTTTCAATTGATTTAATTAAAATCAGAATTTAATTAAAACATGAAAGAAAAATCAGAAAAACAGAAACACAATTTTAAATCAAAAATTGAAACAAGATCAGAATTAAATAAAATTAAACAAAAAATACTAAATCAGAATTAAATCAGAATTTAATAATATGTGGATGTTAATGTTGTGTTTTGATTAAATTCTGGTTTGTTTGGATGAAATTCTGATCCTTGTTCGGATTAAATTCTGGTTTTTGTTTTATTCTGGTTTGTTCTAAAGAAATTCTGATTTGTTTTAATGAAATTCTGTGTTTTTGTTTGAATTAAATTCTGATTGTGTTTTAAAGGGATTCTGGTCCTTGTTTAAATTAAATTTTGATTGCTTTAATGAAATTCTGTTTTTGTTTAAATTAAATTCTGATTTTTATTTTTCAGGTTTTAATTCTAATAGACGCCTCTTTTGGTTTTGAAATAGAAGTATTTGAATTTACTAATATTTGTCAAGTACATGGAATGCCTAAAATTATGGGAGTGCTTACTCATATGGATAAAGTTAAAAAGAATCAATTGAAATCGGTCAAAAAGAAGTTGAAGCAGCGTTTTTGGACTGAACTTTATCCGGTTTTTTAAATTTTTTTTCAATTTTGTAAGGGGATTTTCGTTATATTTGACTTTATGAAAGTGCTCTAGGACTTTTCGCATGTCAACCAATTTGTTCATAAATTTGGGAATTTCTTTTTAGGGACACCCCCATGTAAGCGCGCGGCCATAACGGCGCAAATCCATAATTTCCTGGAAAATTTCTGGCCCTTGTCAATTTTGGTACCAATCTCTTTAGCTCGATGAGTAGAATCGTTTAATACTAAATTTGTTTAGATTCAGAAATCTTGAAGCAAAGTATGGCTTTGTGCTGTTATGGCCGCGCGCCTACTTGGGCTGTACCCGTTTTTAGGCATTTTTTAAATTTTTTACTGAATCAAGACCCTAAAATTAACAATCATCTCTATCTACCTTCTATTTAATTTCTTAAAAAAAATTTTTTTAAGGGAGCAAAACTCTTTTATCTTACTGGAATGAAGCATAACAAATATTTACGTCACGAAATTAAAAATCTTGGGAGATTTATTTCTGTTGCAAAACTTAGGCCAATTTTATGGAGAAATGCTCATCCTTATTTGGCTTGTGATAAAGTGGAAGATTTAACTGATCCTGAGGTTTTATAATAAAAAAATTAGAATTTTATTAATTTTTCCTAATTTTTAGTCAATTAATCAAGACCCTAAAATTGCCCGCAAAGTTGGTTTTTATGGATACGTTCGAGGTGTTCACATAAAGAACCATTCAGCTGTTCAGTAAGTTTGGAACGCTTTTACTATATACCTATTTGAGAGACCCTATCTATGATTAAAGGGACACGCCCGAAATGTCGCGCGGCCATAATGTCGCCGAGCCATAACTTGCTTTAAGATTTCCGAATCTTTTCAAATTTAGTATTAAACGATTCCTCTCATCGAGCTAAAGAGATTGGTACCAAAATTGATAAGGGCCAGAAATTTTTTAGCAAGTTATGGCTTGGCGACATTATGGCCGCGCGACATTTCGGGCTGTACCCATAATTGAACATATTGGGTATTTAAAATTCCCCCCCCCCCCTCTTTGATACCGATTTTTTAAATTTTTATTCCTACACGTGGCTATCAAGGGCGTAGCCAGGGGCTGAGGCGAAATCTGCGTCCTTGATGTCTATTGGTCAAGACAATAGGCTTGGTTCAAGAATAAAAACTCAAAGATGTTCAAAAATACTTTTAAATAATCTTTAAGTTATTAAAAATCTTAAAAACCTTGAAAGTCGAAAATCAAAATTTCGAAATAACTCTAGTTGTGTCTAACAAGTGTAAGGGTTGTTTATAGTCAAAGTCAAATTCTTGTCTCTTTTTTTAGAATTTTAACTTTTATTTTCTTTTATTTATTTTTTTCAGTATTGCCGGCCTTGGTGATGTTTTAATTAACAATATTTCAATACTTCCAGATCCTTGTCCTTTACCCGAAAATCAAAAGAAAAGATCACTTAATGAACGTGAACAGGTTTAGAAAAATTTTTTAATTTAGAATTAAAATTTTTTAGATAATTTACGCTCCCTTTTCTGGCCTTGGAGGTTTGGTATTTGATCAAAATGAATTTTATATTGATGTTGGGGGTAGTCATTCTTTTTTGAAGGTTTGTGAGGATTTCTAATTTATTTACAAATAATTTTTTAGGGTCGGAATGAATTAGTAGAAGCAATTGATAATGTTGCTGAACCAATGGATGTAAAAGTAGAGAATGCATCGTTACAATTATTGAGTGGTAATCCTAACTTGGAGGTAAATGAAATTTTATTTTATGGTAAATGATTATCAGTAGAGCCCGGATTTTTAGGCAAATGCCTGTTTTTTTCCGAGATAGGCCTGATGCTGAAACGTTCAAATCCAGTGTTATTTTACTGAAATCTGCTTTCTAACTAATTTTATCGTTGCCTAAAATTGCCTATTTTAACTTTTTCTGGAAAAGTGCCCTATTTTGCCTTTTTTCAGCCTATTTTGCATATTTTTACTAAAATTTGTGAATTTTTGGGCATTTTTTGAAAAAATTCTTGTCTAAAAATTTTTTTTTGGAAAAATATAAAATTTTTCTTTAAAATTTTTCTCAAAAAATTTTTTGGGAAAAATTTTCTTCTTAAAAAAATTTCAAAATTATTTTTGGAAACAAAATAATTAATATAAATTAATTTATATGTAATTTTGATCGTCAAAATTAATTTATTTAACAGTTTATTGCTTAGATTTATCTTTTTTGATAAAATTTATGCAATTTAAATCAGAAAATCTCGAAAAAATCCTGCCTATTTTGCATTTTTTTCGGATTTTAGTGCCTATTTCGGCAGTTTTTTAGTGCCTATATAGGCGCCTATTTTTAACTTTATCGTGCCTAAAAATCCGGGCTCTAATTATCAGACTAACCGAGTAACCTCCTGTTCAGAGCTGGACGCAACTGAAAAAAATTTTCCGCAGCCGCAATTTTTTAAAATCCGCAGCCTCAGTCCGCAAGTCCAAAAAACACGCAATTCCATGCAGTCCGCAATCCGCAATTGCGTCCAGCCCTGCTCTTATAGGTCAAGAAGGCGTTGGAAGTTTGGCATTGACTTTGTTGTAGTCAAAAAAATTTTTCTTTACATGTTTCATCTTTGAAGTTATTCTAAATTATCAAATATGGAATAACCTTTGAGACCTTCTTCCAATTTTCTACTAACAATAATAATCCAAATTTGTTAAGGTTGACATAAAAAGCGAAGTGGACAGTGAAGAAGATAATGAAGAGGATGAGGAAGATGAAGTCGATGATGAAGATGAAGAGGAGGAGGACGACAATGATGAAGAATACGAAAGTTTTGAAGATTCAGAAAATGAAGAAGAAAATAATTTAAATAATTTTGCATCAACCTCAAAAGAAATGAACACATTTAGTGGCATTGCAGAGCGTTTATCTGGAAATTTTCAAGTTAAACCTTCACATAGAATAAATTGGGAAAAGATTGTTTATGAATCTAATGAAGGTTATTTTAATTTAAAATTAAATTTAAAAAATATTTTTAAATTTTAGATGGTCTTAAAAATGAGAAAAATGTTGCTTCGACATCCAAAAAAGACAGAACTTTTGGTGGTGGTCTTTTTAAAATTCCTGAAAATGTTTTTAATTCGAGAAATAAAATTTATTTGAAAGACAAAGATGACGGAAAATTGTGGTCATTTGAAATGTTTAATAATAAAAGTGAAAATTGTTTGGATTGGAATGATAATTGGGTGGGTTTTTTGTTTTTAATTTTGGGGGTTTTTTCAGGTCTTAAGTTTTGGCTTGAATTTTTGATGTCTGAAGGTCCTCGTTATGTTTATCTTTATTAAAACTTAATTAAGCAGGGTTCTAACATCTGAAAGAGTTATACGAGAAAGTTAAGAGCGTAGGGCAACTCGTAGAATATGTAAGGATGATTCACCTAAAAGAGAAAGTATTAGTCGATGCCCAGGTAGCTCACATCAGCCAAGATCCTTTATTAGTGGTAGAGCTCCTAATGTGGTGAGCGAAAGTACCTTTCAATAACTACGAGGAGGTTGCAGGTTCGAATCCTGCCCAGTGGCTAAACTTTTGCTAAACTCTTTCTAATAAAGCATCTTGTTTTCGGCTAGTTCTTCGGTCAACCATACCCAAACCGATAAACTCAACCAAAGTTTTCGGTTTGTAAGTGAATCAACAATCATAGAAATCAACAACCTAATTTTCTTTTAACTACTTTCTATAAACCGTTATTTTTTCGTTAGGTCAGAGATTCAATTCGTGATTGTTGGGTAACTGGAGAGTGGGAAAACGAAGATGACAATGAAGAAATAAGTGACGACGAAGAAATTAATAAAATTTCAAAAGGTTTTTTAATTTATTTTTTAAAATTCATTTTTAAATTTTAAAAGGTGGATTAGAAAAAATTAAAATTGAGAAAAAAGAAGCTTCTTCCCAAAATTCGGATGATGATGAAATGAATTATGATTCAGATGAAATGATCGATTTTGATATGAGTGAAAATATGGAAGAAAAAGTGACTAAAGATATGGATGATAGCAATGCGAATTTAGGCGAGAATGAAGGTTTTTTAAAGAATTTTTATTTTTTGTAAGGAGCGGAGGGGAGTGGCTGGCTAGCATTTACAGAAGGGAATAGTATTTCGCGGGTCAAAATCTATTAATGGAGAAGGTGGCAGCTCACATTAGTCGGTATAACACTTATACATGGTGGCGAAAGCGCCTAGCAATAACTGCCAGGACTAGCAATACTTTATTTAAAATAAATGATTGCCCGGGACTAAACATATATCTTACTTTTTGTCTAATTAAAAAATTTTAGAGAAAAATGAAGGTGAAGAACCTATACAAAAAGAAAAGAAAGACAGATTAAAACAACAATTTGATGCTGAATTTGACAGTACAAATGCAAAATATAATGAAATGAAGGAAGAATATGAAAAACAATCAAAAGTAGGTATTTTTCAAAAATATCCGCAAGTTTTATTTCAAGTTTAATAATTATTCTGGATTTTGTGTGACAAAATTGCTTGTTTTAAGCCTCAAAAATAGTGTTCTTTTTCGTTTTTCTTCTATGAAATAATCTTTGTTTAAAAAGATAGGACTTGGGATAAAACTTGTGGACTTTTAGAAGCATAAACGAGGAGAATTTTATTTTTTTGTAAATTTTTCAAAAAAAAATTTTTTTCAGTTAAACAAAGCAGCTTTTGAAGATTTGGATGAAACAAAAAGAGCAGAATTGGAAGGTTTTCGGCCTGGTTTGTATGTAAAAATTGAAATTGATAATATTCCTGCATCATTTATTGAGTGTATGGACCTGCGTTTTCCGTATATTATTGGTGGTCTTTTGCCTGGAGAACAAAATAATGGTTATGTTAAAGTAAGAAAATTTTAATGTGATTCTTTGGTTTTTGGGATATTTTTGTAAATTTTTTAAAAAAATATTTTAAACTTCGAATTTGGAGATCAGTAGGAGAGTTTCCTTTATTTTAGTGTATTTACCCCCCCCCCCCCTCCCTTGAATTTTGGTAAAACACAAAAATCATTTTCTTTTCGGAAAACAATTTTTATTTTTAACTGCTAGTTCTCCTAGGTTGATAATTGTAGGTCTTTTAATTTTAAATATGATTAGGTGATTCTTGTTACTCTCAATTTTTTTTTGTCAATAGAATTGTCTACTTCCTACATTTAAAAATATTTTTTTCTTTTTTTAAGGTTCGAATCAAAAAACATCGTTGGTATGATCGTTTACTTAAATCTAGAGACCCTTTAATTATTTCTTGTGGATGGAGAAGATTTCAAACAATGGTTATTTATTCTGTTCTAGATCATGACCACAGAGAAAGATTCTTTAAATATACGCCAAAAGAAGCTTTTTGTCATGGAGTTTTTTGGGCACCTTTTGTGGCACAAAATACTGGATTTTTGGGGTTACAATCTGTTGATGAGGAAGTGGTAAGTGGAGGGTGGAGATTTTTAAATTTAAAAATAAAAAAAAATCCGGATAAAATTTGCGGACTGTCCGCAAAAAATTTTTTTGTCCGCAAAAATTATTTAAAATTTTTTTTCTTTAAGAAATCATTTCGTATTGCAGCAACAGGTGTTGTACTTGGTGTAGATAAATCAACACAAATTGTTAAAAAATTAAAATTAATTGGACAACCATTAGAAATATATAAAAAGACTGCTTTTATTAAAGTTTTTTTAATTTATAAAAAATTTAAAAAATTCTAATTTAAAAGGGAATGTTTAATAGTGCATTAGAAGTTGCAAGATTTCAAGGAGCTGCAATTCGTACAGTTAGTGGAATACGTGGAATAGTTAAAAAGGCTATTAAGACACCTGATGGAGCTTTTAGAGCTTCTTTTGAAGACAAAATTGCTGGAAATGGTTAATTTTAAATAATTTTTATAATTTTTTTTGAGTTGTTTATGCTCTATTTTAAAGGGGAAAGGGTCTATTTTTGTGAGAAAATGATTGTGTTTTATAAGACAGACCAGGGATGGATCGGGTTGAGAAAAAAGACTTGTAGCGGTTCGAGTCGGATTTTCAAAGTTTTCTCCGGGGATTTCTTTCGGATCAAAGAAATCCAGGTTCTAAACTTGACAAAAGATGACACAGACATCTTTTTTTCTTTTTTGCTGTTTAAAAAATTAAACTAGAAACTATGAAGGATTTTTTTGAGAAAAATAATTATTATATCTCACGATAATGGGTCAGGTTGGGGAAATATTTTCCGCAGAAATTATTTTTCTTCTCCTCTCATCTCATTTTTTCTTCAGATATAATATTCCTCAAGGCTTGGGTTGATGTCCCCGTTCCAGAATTCTTTGTTACAATGACAGATAAATTGTTGCCTACAGTTGAAAAATGGCTAGGAATGCGTACAGTTGGAAGACTACGACACGAATTGGGGTTAAAAATTGAACAAAAAGAAGATTCTGGTTATCACAGGAATTTAAAAAATGTAAAGGAAAAAATTTTAAAATTCAAAAAATTTTTTTCAGCAATTAGTAGAACGTCCATATATTAAATCAGAATTGGTTATACCCAAAAAATTGCAAAAACAACTTCCATATAATTTAAAACCTAAAATAGAAAAATTAACGGGCAGAAGAAATGAAAATAAAAATAAATCAGAATTAATACAAAAACATACAGCATTAATACTTGAACCTAAAGAAAGTAGATTACACGCAATGATGAAGATGTTAAAGACAGTAAATGAAGATAAAAGAGAAAAAGAGAAGGAAATGAATGAAGCGAGGCTAGAAAAACGGAAAAAGGTGTGGGGAAAATATTTTTTTTTATTTAAAGGGAAACTTCCGGAAAAGTTTCAGAATACTTTTTGGATTTTTCCGTAAAGGTTCAGAATATTTATGATAGTTTCAGAATTTATTTTTGTGTTTTCCGGAAAAATTCAGAATTTTCTGCGGGTATTTCGGAGACGTTATTCTTTGAATTTCTGAAAAATTCAGAACTAATCTTTACATTTTCCGGATCTTTTTCAGTATTTTTATATGTTTTCCGGAATGATTTTATAATTTTATTTATTCTTCCAGAAAGGTTTAAAATATTTATATATTTTATTTTTCCGGAAGTTTCAGAATTTATTTTTATATTTTCTGGAAAGACTTCATAATTTATTACAGCTATTCTGGAAATTTCAGAATTTTTCCGGAAAGAATCAGAATTAATTTTCTTTATTTTCCGGAACATTATTATTCATTCTTATGTGTTTTCCGGAATGATTTTAGAATTTACTTTTAATTTCCGGACCAACTCAGAATTTATCTAAAATAAAAGATTTGACTAATACTTTTTCAGGAATTATCCAAAATTAACGAAAAACGGACAAAGAAAATGAAAGAAACCAGAAAAGCTTATTGTAGGAATTTATCGAAAAGGGAGGGTAAACAGATAAAAGATGCTATAGAAACGATTGGGGCTTAAAATTTAAATTTTGTTTTTTTTTGTTATATATTTTTGTTATTTTTTAAATTAAAAAATTTTATTAATTTTTAATTCTTTCAAAAAGGGTCATCCTTTCTTCCAAAAAAAATTCCAAAAAAATAAAAAAATTAATTTTAATTAAATATCCAAAAATGTTTTTAAGCCAAACCCATTAAAAATAAAAGGCAAAAAAAGAGATTAGGCTAATTTGTTGATTATTTTCTCTTTAAAGAAATATATAAAATTAATTGTTTATATCCAAAGAGGAATTTAGTCAAAAAATTAATTTAAATGTTTAAGCACTAAACGGCAATTATTTTTTTTAGTTTAATTGAAAAAATTTGGATTAAAATAAATAGGAGGGAGGGGAAGGAGATATTAAAAGATGTTTAATTTGGACATTTTTGCTAGAAAAATTTTAAAAAATAAAAATTTTTCTAATCAAAAAAGAAATTTTTTTCTTCGGATAAATGTCGTCTTTTAATATTTCTGCTCTTCTAAAAGAAGAGGCTCCAAATAAAATTGAATTTAACAATAACTGTCCATTTTCGTATTTAAATCAAAATAATTTAATATGGCAAATGGAAAGGAGAAGACATTTACAAATTTTTCTTCCAAAAATTTTAATTTTGCCAACAAATCCATTCCAGCTATTTTTTCCTAATCGTTTGAAAAGTCCATTTAATGAAGATTTTAATGAGAAAATAAATTTTAAAAATTTAAATAAAGATGAAAATGAAAATCAAATTGATAAAAATAAGAAAAATAGTTTTGTGGAGAAGAGGACATGTAAAAACAAACGTTGCTGTGTTGATAAAAGACCGAGAGCTTGTTTTAATAAAAAACAGGTAAACAAAAATTTTATTATTAAATTCTGAAATTTGTATTTTTGATGCAATTAATTCTGAAAATTCCGGAAGGAAAATACAAATAAAATAATTTCCGGAAAATACAAATAAAATAATTTCCGGAAAATACAAATAAAATAATTTCCGGAAAATACAAATAAAATAATTTCCGGAAAATACAAATAAAATAATTTCCGGAAAATACAAATAATACAATTAATTATTAAATAGTTGCTTTTCTAAACACAAAATTAATATGCTTTCCGGAAGGAGAAAAACACAACTTATTTCGGAATAGGGTCGTTAATCTTTGATTTTCCTGAAAAAATCGAATTGATCTTTACGAATTAATCTTTAAAAAGCGAATTATTGTAGTAAGGATGATTCACCTAGCAGCATTTAAAACAGGCTCTTTCTTTATGTTTTTCCGATAAATCTTCAGAAATAAATGCTTGAAGAAATTTAATCTTCCTTTAAATCTGAAAATGTTTTTTCTTGATTTTTCACAGATTTCCTTGTTGGAGCACCGCTTTTCCCAACAAAAATATTTAGCTTCAACAGAACGAGCTTTGCTCGCTTCACAATTAAAAATACGTGATGGACAAGTAAAAACTTGGTTTCAAAATAGACGGACTAAATGGAGGCTAGAATAATTTTTCAAATTATTTAAAAATAATTTTTTTAATTTTTAGGCGTAAAATAGATGAAGAAGAAAGTAGAAAAAAAAGCGATAGAAAATAAAAAATAGTGCAGTTATTCCGGAAAAGTTTCAGAATTAATTGTAAAACTTTCCGGAAATGTTTCTTTGTTCTCTTTAAGTTTTCCGGAATTTTGTTGTTTAATTTTTAGTTTTCCGGAAACTTAAGAATTATTTAAATGTGTTTTCCGGAAACTTAAGAATTATTTAAATGTGTTTTCCGGAAACTTAAGAATTATTTAAATGTGTTTTCCGGAAACTTAAGAATTATTTAAATGTGTTTTCCGGAAACTTAAGAATTATTTAAATGTGTTTTCCGGAAAGTTTAATTTTTCCTTTTATATTTTTTCGGAACAATTAATTGTAAATGCTTCAAGTTCCCTTTAATATTTTTTCCAAATAAGCTTACAATTTTAACAATTAAAAATTGTTTAATAAATTAATTAAAAAATAAATTAAATTAAAAAATTGTTTCAAGTCAAGTATTTTAAAAACACTTAAATTAATTATTTATTTTTTTCGAGTATTATATCTTCTTCCCCTTTTCTGAGTCCTTTTAGTAACAGCAACACTCTGTGCAGCTTCAAGTTCAAAAATTTTATTTTTTAAACGTTGAACTTGACGACGTAATAAAGCATTTTCACGGTCTTTAGCTTCCTTAAAAATTACTTGTAAAACTTTTTGGGAGATTTTGATGAGAGGAACCATTGGGTGAAGAACCAAAAACCAAACCAAAGAGGAATCTAATTCCAAGGACCAACCATCTATTCGAATTATCGATGGAAAATATCGATGTCGATATTATTGATGATCGACCTAAAGTCCGGTCTCTACTCTCTATTTCCACCCAAAAGGTTCCAAAAAAAAAACCCCTCTAAAAATAATTAAATCTTTCCCACCTCCCGTTTAGACATTTGTTCAAGAAAATCATCCATCATTAAAATATATCGATCCTTCCTCTTTTCATTTGCATCTTTAAACAAGCTATTTTTCTTTTCTTCCATTTTTTCTTCTTCCTTATTTTTCTTTGTTTTCTTTTCTTCATCCTTTTTATTTTTCTTCCTTTTATCTTCATCAAAAGAAGAATTTATTGACAATCTACGAATAGCTTCTTCTGCTTCAGAAGTAAAAGATTCTCTTCTTTCATTATTAAAATCACCCCCTAAAGTTGATTGATCATCCTCCTCCTCCTCTACTTCAGCTTCTTTTTCAATTACTTCATTAATATTAACAAGACTTCTCCACTCAAACTCATCATCCTCCTTATCTTCATTTTCTTCACCGTTTCCTCCTCCTCCTTCATTTTTATTTTCCTCTTCGCTCTTCTCCTCCTCCCACCCTTTACTTTCTTCACTCCCTCCATTACCGTTACTCTTCCTCTTCTCTTTTCTCTCTTCATTCTTCTCTTCATCCCTTCCTTCCTCCACTTCCTTCTCCTCCTTATTTTCCTTCTCCTCCTCGTCCCTTCCTTCCTCCTCCCAATTATTCTTCTCTTCACTTCCATTCATAAATATATTTACTTCTTCATTCCCACTTTCTTCATCTCCATTTAACCCTTCACTTTCCTCACTCCAATTCATTTCTCCATTTGACGATCTATCCACACTTCCATCTCCATTTTCCTTCATATACTCAGCAGTCATTAAATCCAAGTGTTTACTCGCTTTTTCCAAGGCTTCATTCGACCCTTTTAGACAAACAAATTGGAAACCATCAGGTCTTGGACGATGAAGTTGGTAGGAGGTCAAACCAAATTTAATCTGAATTTTAAAAAATAAGGGTGACTTGGTTAATTTTAGTTATCCTTCCTTTTTTGTTTTTCGTCCTCTTTTCGTTGAAAAATATTTTAGGAAAATATCCCTTCCCCTCTCATCAGTCAATCAGCATGTATGAGTCGGGGGTTATTCGAAACTCCAATTTGTAAAAACCTTTTCTTTCGGCCCAGAACCCAATTCGAAGAAAATTTTGAAAACTGGATTCGAAACCAGACCCTACTTTTTCCTATCTCAACCCGTCCCATGCCTTCCTCTCCCACCAAAAAATTAAAGAAAACTTCAAACCTTTATTTTTATCATAATTTTAGCAACTTCTTGGGGCACCAAAACTTCCATTTGCGAATCTTCAACAAATTTTCCCCAATCATTTCCAGTATTATCCACCCTCCTTCGTCTATCAAGATCAACATAAATTAAATTGTTGTTGTATTTTGGCGACCATTTTTCAATAAATTCTCTTTGTATAAATAATTTGGCCATTTGAACTTTTTTGTCGGTTTTCCCAGTTATTCGTAAAGTTCGTCCTTCATTATATTGAGCTTTGTTGTCCCCAAGAAATACTAAATTTACATCCAATTCTGTCTGAAAAATTGAAAGGGGAAATAGAGGAAATAAAAATAAATTTTAAAAAATTGGGAAAAAATTTACAAAACGGGAAAACGGTAAGACTAGTCGACCTTAAAGTCACTAAACCTAAAAAAAACATAAAAAATTAATTTTGATACGTCCAACACATTGCAAGATCGAATAGATGAGTTGGATCAAAAACTAAAAATGTTGTTAAGTCCTAAAGGCACAGGGGAGACCACGGTTAAATTAAAAGAACTCTAAGTCAGGGATGGGTCGGTTACCCAAAACTCAGACTTTCTGACTCGATATCAGACCGGACTTTTTCTCAATAAACTAGCGAGACAACCCACAAAACTTCGGAAAATTAAAAAATTCAAAAAAATACCTTCAAAGATTTAATTCTTTCTCCTCTTTGCCCAAGCACACCCAAAAAGTTTGGATACGGCACAACAAAATCGATTGAAGGAAATGTAGTTGTTTGATCATCCAAGGAAGACAAAAATGTAGTTGTTGGAGGTGATGTCTTTTCCTCTTCAACAGGAGAATACTTTAAATAAAAAAATTTAAGAAAAAAATTCAAAACAAACTCTCAAGTCAAAAATCAATTTAGAAATTCTCTTTTTAGTTTCAACAACATTGGCCAATTCTCCTTTTAATACTAAAAAGCGTCCATCCTGTGGCTTATCTTCTTTATCAACAATAAAATCGACTTTAGAAGTTCTCTAAAAAATTTAAAATTTTAAACAAAAAATATACGAAAAATAGAGATGATAGAATCAACAGTCAGGAGATCGAAGGGGCCGAAATTTAGACAAAACTCTAGATACACCCAATCCGATTTCTGGGTTTAATTTTAACTCAGCTTTTAATCAAAGTTTTTCCCACAACACCAAATGCAAATTTTTCTAATTAAAACTAGATTTTAATTGGATAAGTAAATATATTCTGAGAATTTAAGGCAAATTCCAGTGAAAAGGATAGTGGTGGTCGGTTCATCAAAATCCTAGTCGATTTAAAGTTTGGAAATTAGTTGGGAGTCCTGATCAATAAAATAAAATAAAGAGCTCACTCAAGCCCGAATTCTCTACACTCACGGGCCGCTCAAAAAAATACTAAAAAGAAATTTAAATAAACCTGAATTTCTCGAAATTGTTTCTTCTGTTCCTCACTAAAAGCACTAAATAGAGGCACTTTAATCCTTTCTTCAGCCAAAGCAGTTTTTCCCAAAGCCGACATTCTTTTTCCATCAGCAGGTCCATAAGGATTTAGATCCAAAGCAATTTTGACCATATAATTTATTTGAAGTCTGGCAGACCGAATCCCATCCAATTTGGTCCCCTTCAAAATTAAACGGCCAAAACCTTCGGGGACGGGGTCAGAATGTCCGCCATCCATTAAAGCAATAACATTAAAATCATTCTGAAAATTGAAGAAAATTTAATTTCTAATCCAAACAGTGGCTTTAAAAGTTAACCTAAAAATTGTAGTTAGGGAATAGATAAAACTTAGGAAGATAAAAAATTCATAAGGATCAAGGTTTTTAGCATTTAGGTCTAATTGTAGGACAATGAATTAAAAGTTTGGAAACAAATCCATACCCTTATTAAAAAACAATCTATGGGACTAGTATTGCAAAGCTTGGAAAATTTCAAGAAAGAGGTGGCTCCAATAGGTGTATCTAGGGAAAGGTTTTCAGGGTCTGAAATGGCCGTGTCAAACTTTAGGCTTCTATTTAACACTTCCCTCAAATCCGCCCTAAGTTAGACCAGTTCACCTAAACTTATTTTTAAAAAGAAACCTATCTATCCCCTTAAACGTTCTAAAAATCTAAACAAAAAAATTCCAAAAGCAAACCACAATTTTTTTTAAAGTAGATCCATTTCTTCCAACAACGTACCCACACTTTTGGTTTGGAATTAAAATTCTTGTACTTATTTTGAAACGTAATTTTTCATTTTCATTAGCTTCTTCAGCAAATTTTAATATTTTAAATATTTTTTCAAATCGATCACTAAAAAATTTTTAAAAATTTTTTTAAAAATAAAAAACTTTATACTCATTTTCATCTTCAGTGCCATTCATTATAATCCAAATAGCCTTGCTTTCAGCACGAGGTTCAATTTTGCATCCAAATTCTTTCCATTTTAAAAATACCTTTGAGCTTACTTTTTCAATTACTGAGAAATAGAAAAAATTAAAAAAAAACTTTTTTGTCGTTTTACTAGAGGCCTCTTAGTTTTGAAGGAAAAATCGGGTCTTTTTATGGAAAAGGAACCGATTCAAAATAACTTTTGGACTAATAACTGGATATTTTAAGTTAATGGTTTTTATTGCGGACAAAAAGTTGCGGACTTTTCGTTAAGTGAATGAAAAATTTTTGAAGCAAAAAACACTGACTCCTAACAAGTACCCTATGTAAGTCTAACCAGAGAATAAAGAGCGAGATTTTCAAAAACCTTAGACCTTAATCCTAGACCTTAATTACGGTTGGGTACCTTGACCAGATTCTTGACCTTGAGTTCTTGACCTTGAGTCAAGGAAAAATCAAGGAACTCTGAAAAATACATTGATGTGGACTCTGTATCCAGGAAAAATCAAGGTCTGGATCCAGATCCAGCCCGCTCTCTACCAGAGAAAAAACCAAAAGTCAAAAAGGCAAAGACCCGAACTGTGAAAACTCGAGTTCAGAAAAATCATTAATTAAAAAAATCAAAAAAAGTTACTGTAATCTGCAATTTTAGTTGGTATAATGATTTCCTCGTAGATTTTGTAGTCATTCATTGTTTAATCAAAATATATTTATATTTAAAGTCAATTAATCAATCAATCAATTTTTTTAGTTAATCAAATTATTTATATTTAATTTAGCTTATTTAAATAATCATTAAATTAACGAATTTCTATTAAATTTCTTTTTAATTACCTGAAAATTAAAAAAATATTATTTGAAAACGTTTTTATTTTTAAAAAAAACAGAAGAAATCAACTTTAAAACAACCAAAAAATTAATAAAGTTGTGAAGAAAATAATCTTTAAAAGATCAATTTATAAAAGTTACGTATCCCCTCAAAATCTCTATTCCTTAAAATCTCTACTGGGCTAAAATGCCTTATAATCTCTACACAGCTATAATGCATTAAAATCTCTACTCGGCTAAAAATTATTAAAATAACTATTCCTTAAAATCTCTATTCCTCATAATCTCTACACGGGTAAAACGCCTTAAAATCTCTACACGGCCAAAAATAGGATAAAATTTATTTTTTCATTCGGAAGCCTTTTGAGTGCCAACGTTCAGTGCGGAAACGTTGTTCTGATTTCTGGCTTTTTTTTTTTTTTTTCTTTATCGAACACAAATAAATAAGTGTGAAACAATAAAATAAAACTCCTGGATCCACAGGGATCACTTATGGAGAGGTAACGTACAATAAAAAAAAAACAAATAAAATATGACTGTTTTAAAAAAAATGTTAAGTTGTAAAAAAAATAAATAATGGACTCCACAGAAAAAATAAATTAAATGTATAAAATTAAATGCCATAAAAAAATATATAGGTATGTATATTTGGGTATATAAAAAATATTTGTATTAAAACTAATTTTATTTAAATGTTGAGTAAATTTGTTTAGGTAAGAAAGTGAACATTTGGGTTAGGATTTTATGTTAATACACTCCATTAATTCATACTCATAAATTATAATCTTCTGTGGTTAATATTTTGTCTAAAAATTTTTTAAATTGCGGTATAGTACTGATTTTTTCAATTTCTTTTTTTGGAAGTTTATTCCACCTATCTATGACTCTATGTGAAAAGAAATGATTATTTTTGGCTTGCTTTTTGAATAGCTGATATTTATGTAAGCGCGGATTAATTCTATTAGGTTTTGAAAATATTTTTTCTGGATTTATTTTATAGAAACCCATGATTATTTTGTAGGTTGTCATAAGATCAGTTTTTATACGACGGAGATTGGAGGGAAGGAGTTTGCATCTTTTTAGTCTTTCGTTATATTCTATTTTCTGGTATTTGTATTTATATCTTAAAATTCTCCTTGTAAAGCTTTTTTGTGGTCTTTCTAATTGTTTATTAAGATATTCTAATTTGGGGCTAAAATTTTCGGTGGAATACTCCATAATGGGTCTTACGTATGTTTTGAATGCTTTTACATATGTTTCTATTGGTAATGTTTTTGGTAATATTCTTAGGATATTGTTTATTCTTATAAATGAGGATTTGGTAATTTTTGATATATGATGATCAAACTTTAGCTTGTTATCTATGTATATACCTAGATCTCTTATGTTATTAACCTCTTCGATTTTTTTACCATTTATCTCATAATTAAACCTAATTTTATTGTATATTTTTAAAACCTTTACTTTTGCTATAGAGAATTTAAGTTGATTCATTTCTGACCATTTACACGCATTGTCTATAGCCCCCTGTAACTCTATACAGTCCTTTTCCGTCTTAATTTCTGAATAAATCTTAAAATCGTCCGCATAAAGTTTTACTTTAACATTTTGTGGAATATATTTTGGAAGGTCATTTATATAAATTAAGAAAAGTAATGGACCTAAGACTGTCCCTTGTGGGACTCCTGTTTTTGGGATAAATGGTTCGGAAAAATGTTCTTCTATTTTTACACTATGTGATCGATTTGAGAGAAAATTCGCAACCCATTGAATTATTAACCTATCTATTTTTAATTCTTGCATTTTTCTAATAAGTATTTCGTGGTTTACTTTATCAAAGGCTTTCTCAAAGTCAAAATATATAACATCTGTACCTATTTTCCTGTCAAGTGAACTATACCAGTCTTGCATCGATGATAAGATTTGAATTGTACAAGAGCTTTTCGGTAAAAATCCAAATTGCTCTTCTGCGATTAATTTTTGTTTGTTAAGGTGTTCTAAGATATTATTTGCTATAATACGCTCAAAAACTCTACAAGTCGGGGATGTTAAAGCAATTGGTCTGTAATTTTTTGGGTCGTTTACCGAACCCTTCTTTTTAAATATCGGTAGAATGTGGGCTGTTTTCCATAATTCAGGGACTATTCCTGTTTTAAATGTATTTTTATATAAAATTGAGAGAGGGAGAGCTAAGGGGGTAGCACATTTTTTTAGAAAATATTGGTTGATATTCTCAGGACTATGGGATAATTTATTTGGGAGCTTTTTTAATAGTTTTTCTATTATATATGGTTCAAAAGTGATTTCTTCCTGATATTCGTCCTCAGCTACGAGGCTTGCTTGTATATTGTTTTTACCTCCACTAACTATTTCTTCAAAAATATTTCTAAATTTATTTGCTTTGTCTGTGTCGGATATTATGGGGTCGCCTTCCTCAGATTCCTTAAGTATAGGTATACCAGAGAAGTTAAATCGATTTCTTTTCATTAATTTATGTATTTCCCCTATGTGTCCAGATCCTATTTTTTTCGATAGATAGTTGTTTTTATATTTTCCTATTTGTAATTTACATTTAATTTCAAGACTTTTATAATTCTCTTTACTAATTTCCCCTAATTTTAGCTTTTTCCATGCATCAGCTTTTTGTTTGATTATTTCTCTAATCTCTTTAGGGTATTTCATGGGTGTTTTCTCACCAAATTTTTTAATAGGGATGAATTTTTGAATTACTTGGGTTATTATTGAATTCAGTATTTCGGCCATTTCTGAGGGGTTTTTTTTATTAAGTATATTGTTCCAGTTATATTGAGCTAGGTACCAATTTATTATTTTATATTTCCCTTTCTTAAATAAAAATACGTTTCTTTTCTTTTTAGATGTTATTTTTTCGAATGGAAAAATTAATTCAAATACTATCGGTTTGTGGTCACTCAAAACCAAATTTTCTATAATTTCGTATTTATCTATTAATTGCTTATTTTGTAAGATAAGGTCTAGTGTATGGGAAGTATTATACATGGTTGCCTCTTTTATTATCTGATTTAAATTTAGCTTGTTCATGGTATTGTAGAAATATAAGTTTTGATTATCTTTCTGAAGTGTAAAATCCTGCCAATTTATTTTGGGAAGGTTTAAATCCCCTAATATAATATTTGAGAGATCATTTTTATATTTTTTCTTTATTAATTCCCAAAATTTTTTATCATCAACTAATTTTGTATTTGGCGGCCTATATATTAAATGGAATCTAATTCTTTTAAATTCTGAGTATATATCAAGGGTAAGGAGTTCGTAATTGTATTCGGATATTGAAAGAGTCGGAATATTAATAATTTTTATATCCTTTTTATAAATTACGCCTACGCCGCCGCCTCTTCTTTTTAACCTATCTACTCTCATAAAGTCAAAGCTATCAGAAATGAGAAGGGATTCGTTTGATATATGATCAGTTAGCCATGTCTCACATAAAAAAGCTACATGAATATTATTTTTTATTAAATAACTTTCTAACTCAAATAATTTATTTGCGGCCTTTTCTGAATTAATGGAGCGTATATTCAAGAGTAAGCAATTTAATTTTTTAATTTTTTCCTTATTTTTCTGATTGTTTATCTGTGAGGTCCCTATATCCTAATCCATGTTCACTGACTTTTTATAATGAATTTTAAGATTACGATAGCAGGCTGTACCATTTCCGTGTTTTTCATTAATTTCCTTGACTTGTTTTTTAAGGTAATTTTGAAGTTGCAGCTCTGGAGGAGTTAAGTCCCTTCTCGCGAAGGGGCTATGTCCGCCCAGTATTGGTTGATGTAATAATCTATATTGATTAATAAATGATTGTGCAGCTGAAGGTGTAGTAAATTTAACTTTTATGATGCGGTGATAATTGTTGTGCTTCTTGATTCCGTGTCTTTTTACCTCAAAAGTTTTAGCTTCCTTAAAATTTTTGTTATTGATCACAATTTGAACGTTTCTTTCTATATTTTTTATATCTTCTTGTTCATTTTCCATTTCTGGAAATCTTTCTATAACAGCATAATAACTCTTCTTATTATAAAGTTCCTTTAAATTTTCATCGAATTTTGGTTGTTGAAGTTGTTCAATTAATGTTGCAGCTTGAAGGATTTTTGGAGGCATTAGATTAGGTGGGCACCCCCAGCGAGAGGTCGGTTGTTTTGGTTCGGATAGAAGCTGGTTGTTGTTGTTTATTTGACTTGATTGTTGAAATTGCTCAAATAATGTTTTAATAGTTGTTTCAATTATTGGTTTCAGGAGTTGTACAACATTTAAGGAGATTTGTTCAATTTGTTCGGTCGATAAAATCGGAATTTTATCACTTTCACTATCCCCACTAATCGATGTGCAGGGTCTTTTCGCGTTTCCCATGATGATTAATATTTTTTAAATTATTTATGGAGGAATGAAAGAATTTGGAGGAAGAATTATTTTGCTTGTATTGTTTTTGCCGCTGCGGATGAACCCAGGCATGTCCAGCGGAACGACAGCAGCCGCTTCGATACGATCACCGCAAGCAAAATAAACACGACCGCAGCGAAGCAGTCGTGTATTATATCTTCGATATTTACGGCGGATACAAGCAGATATCCGCAGCCATTTTTAAATCAATTGTATCCATATCCGTATCCATTACCAAGTCTGGGTTTTCCAATGAAAAGTTCATATTTTACACTTTTGTTGAGACTCTACCATCCATTTGCAGGGTGTAGAGATTTTAATTATTTTTACCCCAGTAGAGATTTTAAGGAATAGTTATTTTAAGGAATAGAGATTTTAAGCATTTTTAGATTAGTAGAGATTTTAAGGAATAGCGATTTTAAGGAATAGAGATTTTGTATGGGAGCCAAAAGTTATACACTAACAAAGAAAGAGAGAGAATGTTAAAAATAGGAGAGAAGGTGAGAGAAATTAAATTTCAAAACACAATTTGCCAAAACTCATTTTGCCAGTAAGGGTAAAAACGCACGTTTTGCCATTATGTTGTGTTGACAAAAAGAGGATTTTACCCTTATTGGCAAAATATGGATTGGCAAAATATGGGCAGCATTAAATTTGTGTAAATTTTAAACATAACGCCACAATAAATGGATTTGTCGATAATTTAAAGGTAAAAATGGATTTTTTGGTATTTCAATTGTTTTGAGTTTTAATTTTTTTATAAAATTTTAGATTTATAAAAATTATTTCAAGAAAATGGGAACAGTCTCGCGTGCAGAATATTTAAAGAAATATACAACAGATTCATCAGAAAACCCAAAAACTAAAAAATCAACAAATTTATTGGAGTGTCAGGTTTCTCGTTTTAAATTTTAACAAATTCACTTATTTTAAATTCAAAATAAACAAAAATTGGCTCCAGTACAGTTTATGTGTCCAATCAAACCAAATTTCTATTTTTCTTTGTGCTTGCAATCTGGCATTGGATTCTGGGTGTTTCTTTCAAAAAAACTAAATTAGGGCATAGCCACTCAAAAATAGGGCGAGTTGGTCAAAAATAGGACACACTGGGTGTAGGTCCTGAACATGAAGAAGACAATTCCAGCTTTGAACAAAGAAAAATACAAATTTGGTTTGATTGAACTCATAAACTGCACTAGAGCCCAAAAATTTAGGAAACTTCTCAATCATACGAACAAGGCCGGGATGCAGAAACTCGCAAGCGAGTGACAGGTTTTAATAGAGGAAGAAAAGGTAAACGAGAAGAAGAAAATTCTGAAGAAAAAAAAGCTAGAGAAGCAAAACAAGCAGAAATGGAGAAAAAATATTCGGCTACCCTACAACTCATCCAATCCTTAACTCATCTAACACTTAACTCATCCACACGGCCAAAAACGCTCAACTCATCCAATCCTCAACTCATCTAATGCTTAACTCATCCACACGCCCAAAACGCTCAACTCATCCAATCCTAGAAATATCGGCCGGTTGAGTCCCTAGCCGGTTGAGTCCCTGGTCAGTTGAGTCTCAACCGGCCCAAGACTCAACCGGCGGTAATCAACCACTCAGACGGCCGGGACTCAACTGACCAGGGACTTAACCGGCTAGAGACTCAACTGGTCATGGACTCAAACGGCCAGGGACTCAACTGGTCATGGACTCAGACGGCCAGAGACTCAACTGGTCATGGACTCAGACGGCCAGAGACTCAACTGGTCATGGACTCAGACGGCCAGAGACTCAGACGGCCAGAGACTCAACTGGTCATGGACTCAAACGGCCAGGGACTCAACTGGTCATGGACTCAGACGGCCAGAGACTCAACTGGTCATGGACTCAGACGGCCAGAGACTCAACTGGTCATGGACTCAGACGGCCAGAGACTCAACTGGTCATGGACTCAGACGGCCAGAGACTCAACTGGTCATGGACTCAGACGGCCAGAGACTCAACTGGTCATGGACTCAAACGGCCAGGGACTCAACTGGTCATGGACTCAGACGGCCAGAGACTCAACTGGTCATGGACTCAGACGGCCAGAGACTCAACTGGTCATGGACTCAGACGGCCAGAGACTCAACTGGTCATGGACTCAAACGGCCAGGGACTCAACTGGTCATGGACTCAGACGGCCAGAGACTCAACTGGTCATGGACTCAGACGGCCAGAGACTCAACTGGTCATGGACTCAGACGGCCAGAGACTCAACTGGTCATGGACTCAGACGGCCAGAGACTCAGACGGCCAGAGACTCAACTGGTCATGGACTCAAACGGCCAGGGACTCAAACGACTGGTACTCAATAGTCTCGTTCCAAAGGATTGGATGAGTTGAGCGTTTTTGGGCGTGTAGATGAGTTAAGCATTAGATGAGTTGAGGATTGGATGAGTTGAGCGTTTTTGGCCGTGTGGATGAGTTAAGGAATTTTAGCCGTTTAGATGAGTTGAGCGATTTTGGGCGTGTGGATGAGTTAAGTATTAGATGAGTTGAGCGGGCACGAAATATTCTCTTTGGAATAAAGGATTAACTCAAATAAAAGAACGAGAAGAAAAATTAGAAGAAATGGAACAAGTTTTGGGGGAAGGATTTACGAGACATAAAGACGATGAAGCTTTAAATGAACATTTAAAAACGCAATTACGTTCAGAAGACCCTATGGCAGAATATTTTCATGTTAAGAATCATAAAATACAAATGAGGACAGGAATTGGTTTGTTTTTTGTTATTGATTTAATTTTTGGCTCCACTGTTTTGGGTATGTCCTTTTAGTTGTTGGGTTCCGTCCGTGGATTAATACATAAAAAGATTTTTCTTGGAAAGATTCAAGGAAGAAATCTTTCCATTTCTGACATTACTTTTGGCTAAAGGTTAATCCACGAAAGATTGGACGGGCTAAATTTTAACCAAACCTGTTCAACGCTAATTTTATATGTGCCCTCTCCCAAAGTCTCTGGATACGCCCTTGCTTTCGGAACTACTCTCCTTTCCCATCTCATGATTATTTTTTCTTAATTTTTTCTCTTTTTCAGTTTATCCAACATATAAAGGCCAGTGCCCACCAAATCGTTATGAAATTAAACCAGGTTATAGATGGGATGGTGTTGATCGTTCTAATGGTTTTGAATCAAAAATGTCTTTGGAAAAGAATAAAAAGATTGCACATAAAGAATTAACTTATCGATCTATTGCTGAATGTGAATAATTTGTGAGGTTTTTTTTTAATTTTCTTTCTTTTAATTTATTAAAAATCGCGTTAAAAATATGATTTTTTTGCAAATTAAAGCTTTTATTTTCAAAAAATAAATTAATTATATAAATTTTAAGGTTGAATTTATTCTTTTTTTAGACATTCCTGAAATATATTTCTTTTCTTTTTCGTCTTTTTTGAGCAGTTTTTCCTTGGCATTTTTCTTCAAAAATTTAAATATTCTTCACTTCCTCTTTTTCATTTAGTATTTCCCTTCCTTGAGTATATTGAGGGGGTTTTCTCAGTCGAGAAAATGTGAAAATTGAAATTAAGATTAATATAATTATTAAAATAACAGCCAAAATTAGAAGAGGCCATCTAATTGTGGATTGGCGCCAAAACTAAAATTTAAAAAATTAGAGAGCCGTTTTTATTCTTCAATTAGTCTTCAAATAGGGTCTTTAAATAGAGGATGAAGGCTAGTCAAACCTGAGGAAGGGTATATGGGAAAGATCTTTTCTGTCTTATAATTTGTATCCTCCCTCTCCTAAAAAGCTCTCTCTCTGCCCTATAGAAGTGGACTAAAACGAAGGTATCATAAATTGAATTTCTAAAGGTTTATCTCCATATCAAAGGTGTGCCTTTCGCCAAAATTTCGCCTTTTTTAGACTTGCCTTTCATGTTTCGCTTTTTAAATTGACTTTCGCATTTTCACCTTTCGCTTTTTAAAATATGTTTCGGCACACCCCTGCTCCATATGTGTTTCCGTTCGAATTTCCGACATTCACCGCTCGTCTCGGTCTCTCCCCTTTTAAATAATAGATACAAATTCCTTTAGAGTGACAGTATAACGAGTCTACTACATCTAATGTAATTACCGGACTCTTAAATAAATTAAGAAACCTCTGGAAAGAAAATCCAAAAATACAAATCAACCCAATCTGTAGATTTAGCCCCCAATCTAAAAGCAAATTCGTCAATTATATAAAACAATCCTTTAGTAAATTCACCACGAATAAGAAAATTTTCTTTAAAAAATTTTATTTTTTTCCAAATTAAAAAAATATTACGAGCATTTCGAGAAACATTAAACACGAATTCATTAGTTAATTTAGTTGAGATAACCCCTCCTGTACTTGTTTGCAACTAAAAAAAATATTTTTTATTTAAGTTAACTCCTCTGTCTTCTGCACTCCCTATCTCCAGAATCCTATCTTTGTATAATTTCTTGAAGACTAAGAGCAGAAGGTGAAGTCTTGGAAATTTGTTTGTGTATTCTCGAAGCTAAGGATTTCTCCTTTCTTCATCCCTACAAAAGTGGACCTAAATAAACGAAGGTGTCGGAAATCGAATTTCCACAGGTTGTCTCTATATAACCCCCCCCTCGACCCCACTTCCTCTTCATATAGTCCCTGTCCTCAAACTAGACTTATTTCTTCTTGGAGCATCTCCAAATATCCGGAACAGAACCAAAGGATTGAACTGGGAAATCCTTGGTTCCTCAGTTAATTTCCGAACCGATAACCAACTCATAATCACAGTCTGGTCCCTACTCACAACTATTTTTATATTAAATATCTAGACTTACCGAACTATCATTTATCGCCAACACAATTAAAGCATCATCATTACACCTTCCTCTATTTAATCTATTTTTTAATGCGTCAGCAAATATAGCTGAAAGAGAAGTTCCTCTTAAAAAATATATTTTAAATCCCTTTTACAGAAAAATCCCCTTCCCTACTTTCTATATTTCCTTCTCAATTCCTCACTAACTTCCATTTTTTCCAAAATCACAACAGAAATTGTATATCCTCCCCCTTTCAATTTCCTTTCCTCATCCTCTTTACAAACACTCCTCATTTCATTAATATCATTTTGTAGTAATTCATCACACACACATTTTGTGTTTTTTCGAATATTTTCGAGAGCTTTGTCCAAAAGTTGAATCCCTTTAATAAATTAAATTAATATAGCAGTCGACCCTCGCTATAAGACAACTCCTTGGGGCTAAAATATTGTCTCTTATCATGAGGTATGTTAAATAGAGGGTATCCAATAATGAGGTGTATATTAAATAAAGGATATCGCTTAGGCAACTCTCTACAACCGATTTTAAAGTAACTTATGTTAGATTAAGTTGTATAGTGTTTGGAAGTTCGTACCAAAACTCGTACAGTTTTACTCATACATATGTACCTGTGTATGAGCTTCCAAACACTGATTGTACTATTTACTTAGTAATTATCATATAGGTTAAACTCAATTTTAAAACCTTCTAGACTAGGGACGGGATGTGTTGATTAAAAGTCGGGTGGAGTTCGGGCTGGAAAAAGTCTGTGGTTTCATATATCTGGTAACCTGTCCCCTGTTCCATTCCCGGTTCGAGAAATTTTCAGAAGGCTTCTTGTGATATTAAAAAACCTTTCGTTTTTCCACCATAACCAATATTTAATAAATTATCAACATCACATATAAGTGAAGGATGGTCAATACCACAAGTTGAGTAATTAATTAACGAATCTGGATATGTAGTTGGGGTATAAATTGAACTTTTGATTATTTTTAGATTTAATATAGTTAAAAATAAGGGGAATATTAACATCTATATTTTCCTAAAAATAATGTATAAAAAATATATAAAATTAGGATGGTAACAAGTTGAGATATTAGAGATTAAAGAAGATGCTTGGATATACCGGGATATGGGGGAGATTAATTCTCAACTGCACGGAGACAGGATAAGTCAAAGAATGATATACATAACTTGAAGATTGAATATTTTAAATGTAAAATAATGAATTGGAATGGTAACAAGTTGGAAATGTTTGAAAAGACTGAAGCTTTGGAAAAAGTGAACTAAAAAGAAGTGGATAAAATACAAGTATTGGAGTTATTTTAAAGTATTTGGTTGTTTGTTTGGTTATTTTTTTTATTAAATATATACCTATTTTCTGTTTATTTTTTGTTTAGCATTCGTTCTATTTATTGATAAAATTCTGATAATTTTTTGATAATAAAAAATTATCAGGAACATATTGATTAAAATTAATTTTTAAAAATTAGACAAAAAATTATTTTTTTTAATATTTTACAAATGTTACATTTTTATTTAAGAAAATACTAGGTAGTAAATTATTTTAATTCTCCTCACTATTTAAATTAATCCGCGAGAAGTGAGTCACAATTAAAATTGTGTTTATTTTAAGGATTAATAACACCACTAAAATAAATATTTTGATAAATTTACTGATAAGAATCTATTTTGAAATAATAAATATGTCTAAATAAATTTGAAAAAAAATTTTTTTGAATTTAAAGTAGTTTACGTAGTTTAGAAGGGGTAAAATTATTTATTAGGGAAGGGGAGACTTGAGGGAAGGGATACAATTAATTTGCGTCCAATAAACAATAAATTAGATTCTTCTTGGTGTTGCAAAGCAGGGGTATGGTTCCAAAACATTTCTTCTTGTTCGGGACCTACGCCCTCTGGGTCTAGGAGTAGAGCCAAAATTATTTATTAGGGAAGGCGAGACTTGAGGGAAGGGACGCAGTTAAATTTTGTTTTTAATTTAAAATTCGAAAAAAATTAATAATTTAATACACATTAGATAGAGCAGAAAATTTGCTATAGAGTAAAATTTTAAAATCTAAATTTTAGCCAAAATAAAAAAATTTAAGGCTAAAAATCGCCCTTTATGATTAAATTTTAAGTTTTTCGATCAAAATTTTTTTTACAAATTTTTGAAAATTTAGATTTTTAGTGAATTTTTTAGCCACGTTTATCTTCTATCGAATGATACCAAACTTGTCTAAAAAATATCAGGGAAATGTCGAGTTATAGAAGCCTAAACACCGTTAATTCGATGCTTTTTAGGGATAATTATTCAAAATAAAAATTAATTCTGTTTTTGGCGTTCTGTTTAATTAAATTTAAAAATTAATTTAAACAAAAAGGAGCATTAGAGTATTAACAGTTTAAATTTTGTTAGTCCGTATTTCATTCAATTTTTGATTTTTTGGCTTTTTTAAAAATGATTTAAGCAAAGTTTTGTTCATTTATTAAAATAAAAGAGGGAGAATTTTAGCCGATAAATACACAGCTTTAAGAATAAAAATAAATTTATTTTTTTTTTGTTTTTGCGCAACATTAAAAAGTGGGGGGAAATTTTGTTAATTCTCCTCTCTCTTTTTTCTTCTTTTGTTTATTTTTAATGTACAAAATTGTGTTCTTTTTTGTTTGTTTTTCACTTAAGACATTTTTCTATTTTTTTGTTTTAGTTCAAAAATGTGGAAAAAATGTTTGAATTAAATAGAGGGAAAGAGAGAATTAAGTTTAGGGGAGGAGGGGAGGGAAGAGGAGGAGAGGGGGTGAGGGGAGGGAATTTGCCCTTTTTAATTTTTATTTAATTACTGAAACCTCTAAAAATGTATTTTTTTAAACAGGGGGGCAAACCTAATTACCTAAATTTGTTTAGGCAATATTGCCTAAATTGCCTGAATAAGCCCCTCCCTATTTTCTTGCCAAATTCCCCTTTTTTGTATTTTTATCAGGCAAACAAAAAGGATTTATTTTTAAGTCATTTTCTAGAAAAACTTAAAAATTTTAAACCTTTCGATTTACATGAAAAAATTATGTTTGGTAAACCATAAAATCGTTGAGGTCTACCTATCAGGAGTCGGTTTGGAATTCCGATTTCCGACATCTTCCTCATTTCCTACCGACCTCTGCTACCTTTAAAGCAGAGTTGTGCCGTTCATCTTTTGTCTTCCGCTTTTAAAAATCTGTTGGCACATCCCTGCTATAAAGGGTCAATTCAAACATAAAGCTGGCAGCAACACTGAAACCTATAAAAGTTATATCTTCCAGATACCTGTATCTTTTTTTATTTTTTATCTTTATAAACAAAAAATAATCTTTTCTTGATTATTCGTTTGCTTAAGAAGGGGGGGGGGATTTGGGTAGAAAAATGAATTGTCCGCAAAAATTTTTGCGGATTTTCTGCAATTTTTTAAATTTAATTTTCTTTTCAGGAGTTCTCTTTAATTATTTATTTTTAATTTATTTTCTAACTAATATCCAAGAATGTCAGCTAACAACGAAAATATTCTTCCAGTTTGTAATGATGCAAGAGTATTGGCAGAATCAATCATCGCTTCTCGAAATTTTGAACGTTCAAAGCAAAAAACGCCCAAAAACGTTCCTTTTATGCCTTCTCCAATTAAAAATAAGCCTTTGGAATTATCTGGTGGAAAACAGGCAATTCTTGAATCTCCAATTAATTTTGGAGGAGTTTTGCAATCACCTGGACCTTCTCCTGCTCCTCTTCGATTTAAGTCGTTTGGACGAGTTTCGAGTAAGTTTTTCTTGTTTTTTTTTGGGATTTTTAGTGACAGGAGTTTTATTTTGTGAAGTCCGGGTTGGGATGGAGTTACGTGGGCACATTTTTTGGGCATTAGACATATGCCACCACAAATTTGTTTGATACTTTTTTTGAGTGATTCCTGCAGTTCCTTTTTTGTCTCTCCCTTCTTCAAACCAGATTTCCCGCAAAAGTTCTTTGGGGCACATTTCTCTCTAAATTAAGTGTAATTGTATTGTTTATGCATTAGTTTGTCAGAATATGTCCTACTCCTTTTCTGAAGGATAATTGTCCCCATATTCTTTTCATCTTTCAATTTTTGTATCTTCCTTGGTTCCTTTAAAAGAAAAGTTTTTTTGGATTTTTTTCAATTTAATTTTCGGCGTATTTCCCGTATTTTTCAATTAACTTTTATTTATTTTCAGACAATTTCAATTCTTCGTTTGCGGGCAATTCAAAAACTGACTTTGGAAGTTCTTATGGTATAAATTTTATAAAAATTATTTCTTTATAATTTTTTGTTTAGGAACATTTGTTAACAACCGTCAACGTGTTTCAAACAATTTTTCTTCCTCAAACTTTACAAAAGGTTCGAACTTCAATCGGTCTTTTGCTCATCATTATACTCCTGCTCATCATTACAATCCAAATTTTAATTCGTATGGTCGTCTTCACAGTTTGTTTAAATTCTAATATTTTTACTTTTCCTCTAAAGGAGTTATGGTTAGGTGGTAGTGTTCTTGTCTTTCTCCTAGTGGGTAGTGGGTTCGAGTCCGTTTGATGGAAAATAAATTTTTTAGAAATTTTATTTTAAAAATATAGTCTAATTTTTGTCTAAAACTTTAATTTTTATAATTTAAAATTATTTTTTAAAGCCAATTTTAACACTTCTGCCGGTGTTGGATTGCGTGATTATTATTGGATTGGTGAACAGCGTTATAAAAGTTTTGGACAGAAGAAGCTTTGAAAAAAGGAGCTTCTAAACTTGAAGAATTTAAACATAATTTTGATATGTTGCTTTGGTTAATTTATATATTTTTAAAGTTTTAATTTAACATTTGAGTGGAAGGAAAATGTCCGCAAGTTTTTTTGAAAAATTTTGAAAATTGGTCAAAAATAGGATTTTCTTTATAACTTTGGGTACTCTAAATGACAAATGACAGCAAATTTTTGAAGGGAACTCGGGCGAGGGGCTTTTTTAAAATAAAATATTCGCTGTTAACCCAAATTTCGGAACTTTGATTTGAACCATAATTTGGCAGCTCCATTTAAGGAGAGGAGAAAAATGGGAAGCAGAATGGAGGAGGGATAACCAACCCGCGCCTAGTTGGTGTACAGCGCGTTCTGCGTCTAAAAGTCCTATTTTGCGGATATTTTACCTTTTATCAAATAATTTTTAACGTGTATTATTTTGATATTTTTAGTGAAAAAAATAAATTTTTTAAAAATTAATTAATTTTTTTTATGTTTCTTACACATTTTTAAATTATTTTTCAAATATTTTTTTAACTTCAATTTTTTAAAAATTTATTTTATCGAAAATTTATTTTATGAAACCCTAAATGTTAATTAAATTTCAAAATTATTTAATTAATTCCTTCCTCAAAATGAACAACAAAAATAGTGTTAATATTTTAAATAAATTATCTACAAAGCCAATTTCTTTTGCTCAAACTAATGAAGTTGGTCTTTTTCAATTGCCAGTTACTTTAAATACTGATAAAGGGAAGGTGACGATTAATGCTGTTTATCAGGTTTATTTTTTAGTTTTTTATTCTTTGAGAGCGAGACCAGATTCTTGACCTTAAGTCAAGGAAAAATCAAGGAAATTTGAAAAATGCCTTGTTCTGAATTCTGGATCCAGGAAAAATCAATGTCTGGATAAGATCCAGCTCGCTCTATTTGAAATTGGGAGCATAAAGTTACTCGGGTTTCAGTTTTGGCAAAAAGGGTAACCAACAAAATGGGTAATTCTCTGGATTTCTAGTTTAATTAAAATCGTTTGGAGTTGAAAGTAAAAATTTTGAAGCAGAAAATTATTTTGCTAATTTTCGTGTTTCGGACCTTAAAAATTTCAAGTTTTTAAAAAATTTCTTGGGTCGGGATTTGTTTTTGAATTCGATTTGATTTTTTTTTCTTTTTATTTTTAATTAAGGCTCCTCTATTTTTTCATTTTTAAAAATTAATTTTTAATTCTTCAGGATACACACCCCGATGGTTCTTCTTATAAAGGACAAACAGTTATAATGCTCCATGGATCACCTGGTTCTCACAACGATTTTAAATATATTGTGCCTCTGTTAAGTCCGAAAGGAGTGCGTTCTATTGTAATTAATTGGCCTGGTATGGGTTATAGTGAATGTTTGTTTTTCTTTTAAACTTTAATTATTTGGAAGGGTTCACCCTAGGGAAATTAAGGGCTTTTTTATTAAAAATTTTAATAAAAGAACAAAAAAATGTTTTATTTCGGCACATCCCTTATTTAAATATCTATTGGAAATATTAGACGAAGTATTGGTCAATACATACCTTTTTCTCTTCCTCCAAAATTCCCTTCCTTTAATATTTTTTGGTCATTCTAGAGGGTTAATATTGGCAATCAAAAAAATAAGGATTAAAAAAAGTATAAAATGAGGGAAGCTTAAAATATGGAAAGAGGAGCATCTAAACAGCACTATTGATTAGAGACTGGACCGAGACGGAATCTCGAACAGAAATCTGGGTTATCTATGTCGATATTTTAAGTGTAGATTTTTCGAGATTCTTTTTCGACCCTCCCAGTCCTTGAAAATCGAAACTAAAATCTTAATCCCCTTTTAAATATTCCTACATCAACTAATTTAATTTATTTATTTTCTAGTTCAGATGATGACAATTTAAAAAATGATAATTTGGAAAGAACAGAATATGTCCAATCAATAATTAATTTTTTAAAATTACAAAAACCTTTAATATTTTTTGGTCATTCTAGAGGGGTAGAAAATGCTTTTAGATTAGCTGAGAGAAATGAGGTTTGGTACTTTTTTAATTTTAAAATTAATTTTTTAAAAGGAAAAAACAGTCGGAATTATTGCTGCTAATTTTGTTGGAGTACAGCCACATATTGGGGTCCGCCCTTTTTTCGCAATTAAATTTCTTTCTGCTTTATGGGAATATGCTGGATGGTTGAGGCTTCAATCTGTGCTTGAACCGATTTATAAAGCTAGTTAGTTTTTAATTTTTTTTCTTGGGAGACAATAAGTTTGTGAATTTATTTTTCCAAATACAAATACAATCAATTTTTGTGCCTTTCCAAATCCGACCTCATCTTTATTTAATAAATGCCTTGGGTGAATTAAAGATAAAATGTGTTTCTACAGAAATTTTAGAGGGAATCGAAAGAATAGGAATGGGATTTTCATTTGGATTTTTTAAAATTTTCATTTCAATGGATTTTCATTCATCCATTCACAAGAATGGGCTAAAATAAGGGATTTAGATTAAATCCTTTAAAAATTAGGGATTTAACTTTGAACAACCATAACTCGGCCTAAAGTCATTTTTCAAGAAACCGCAGATATCACTTCGCAATAGGAAGTCCAGGGTCCTCTATCGAATGGTACCAAAAATATCGAATTCGCAGTCACAGTAAAAGATGGTTCCTTATGAAATACTACTTCCTTTATCTGGGATACTGTTCTGCTTCTATTTAGGATACTATTTAACAATAAACCCCCAAAAAAACAACAGAAAACCACTATAGTTAAAATAAAAATTTTATTTTTTTTTAGTTTACAAATGGGTTGGATTTAAAGTCTCAGATGGTTCCATTGCTGCCCATAGCCTCAAAACAATGACAGCAACCGATTTCGATATTCAATTGAGATATTTATTTCCGTTAGTAATGAATCAAAAAATTAGAATATTATTTGCCTATTCTGGAGATGATAATATGATAGAGCCTGAAAGAAGTGAAGAATTGTTGGATAATATTGGATTGAAAGAAGAATGTCGATTGGTATATTTGTTGTAATATATTTTTTAATTGAGTCCAATATGAAAAGATTCCAACGATTATAATAAAAGTATTTAAAAATGAAAGGAAGTTGTATGGTTAAGTGGGTAAGGTTTTATCCTCCAACTAATTTTAAGGGAGGTTCGGTTCCGCTTGGTGGGAATTATTTTTAGCAGGCGTAAAATAATGCCTAGAACATATTTTTTTTTGACTTATAAGGCCTTACTTTATTTTTCAAAAATATTTCTTTTCTAAGATCTCCAAATCAAGTAAAGATGAACAAAGGACTATTGAAAATACTCGCAAATTACTGAATAAAGGACATAAACAAGTGGCTGTTTATTTTGCTGATGAGGTTTTTTAAGTTTTTTAAAAATTTAAGAAATATTTTTTAAGTCTCCAATTTAGAAATTGAAATATGGGAAAAAGCCTCATATTCTCTAAATTTCAGGGCCATTTTCTCCAAAAATTTCGTTGTAAATTTCTGGCCGAATCAATTATTGCAATCTTTGATGAGGCCGATAATAAATCAAAATTATAGAAAGTTTAACAAATTTATTTTAGTATTTTGTGACATTTGTGGACAAAATTTTTCTTGTAGATTAGTCTCTAGAAATTCAGAAATGGATTCAATAAAAAATTTTGGCAGCCTCTAATTGAATTTTGTAACCAAATATTTTTTAAATAAAATTGAGAACAATCCGGATAGCGGCCTCTCATTGTCAAATTATTTATCTTTAAAAATATTTGTCCACAAATGTCACATTATTTTTCTCTATAAATTAACAATTTCTTGTAATAAATTAAATCCTTCATTTTCAATATCTTCAAATATTGATAAACAAGGTCGACATATTTTTAATAAAAATAAACAACTTTTGTTATTAATTTCCTCCTCCTCATTTCTTTGAAATCGCCCAAAACAAAGGGTGCATATTTGCCCATTTCGTTCACTTTCAATTTTTGAAGAAACGCTCAAAATTGTGGATATCTTAAGTAAATATTTAGGTTAATTAAAAATTTGGTGGAATTTTTCTTCCAAAAAATGGGTTGTTGAAAATAAAATTTTTTCTGCGGACTTTCCCACAAAAAATCACCAAATTTTTCCCCATAAAAATTAAAAATCTCAAACCGTTGCGGGGAATCCATTATCTCTTAATGACTCAATAAAATCCTTTGCTAGACTTTGAACACTGTTTTCTTCTGTAAAATAATTTTTTAGAAAAATTTTAAAAATTGCGGACATCGCAAGTATTTGCAGACATACGCAAATATTTGATAATTAGATTTTTACCTTTTATAATGCCATTAATTCTTGTATTAATTCCATTTTCTTCAATATTCTCACAGCTTTCTATCCTGTCAAGTGCTTCCAATTCTTTATAAGAAATATCACGAAGTGGGCGTATAAATTGAATTGAATGATTGACAAAAGGAAGAGAATTTGTTGAAAGACGGTCATCAATAACAGAAGAAATATCAAATATTGAAGAACCTAAAAATAGGGGATCACCCCAGAATATCGACACCCAAAATATCGACACCCAAAATATCGATTGACCCAAAATATCGACACCCGAAATGACGAATTACCCAAAATATCGAATTTTTCAAATTTCAAAATTATGCATTCCAATGATCGGGAATGATGTTCCAACATCGGGGAATTGTGTTTTCGATCGACTGACCATATCGACCGATCAAGATTCTCCTTGGAGATCGATCACTCTTCTTTGATTGGACATATTGATCATGATCGATGTTTGATCCATTGTTGGAACAATTTCCCTATGTTAAAAAGACTTCCCCGTCCTTGGAATACTTAATTATGAAGTTTAAAAATTTTCGATATTTTGGGTAATTCGTCATTTTGGGTGTCGATATTTAGGGTCATTCGATATTTTGTCCGTCGATATTTAGGGTGTCGATATTCTGGGGTGGAGTCTAAAAATAGAATTGGCTTTGTTTAAAAGCTAAAGGCTGGAGGTTTTTGAAACTTGACGAAACTTTGTGGATTTCAACTGCCTGCCTTGCAAATGAATTTATTTAACCTTCAAGGGCGTAGTTAGGGGGTCGATTTCTGGGAGGTTAAAATTAGATGTACGCCAAAATTTTGGCGTTTACTTAGCGTTCCCCTGGCTACGCCCTTGTTAACTTTTAATTTGTTACACAGAATCAAAGACTTATTTTTATTTTTTTTCGACTTAAAAAAATTTATTACCAAACCTCTTCCAAAGCAAAGACTATTTATTGTTTCCGTAGCTAATTGATCAGCATTTTCACTCAAAAGCACAGATGGAAAGTTGAAATAAGCAGCGTAATTTGCCAAAAGTTTTGTACGAATAAGGCGAAGTAATTCAATACGAACGCTGGGTGAGCGACAATTGGAAATTAAATTGGAGAATTTTTCTAACTGAAAAATGAGAAAAATTTAGAAAATTTTTCGAGAATTTTTAATTTATTTCCCAACTAAGAAAATGAATTAAATTAGTGGCTGGCGAGGGAACCCACGAGTTATTTTTCAAGATTCCTCTCCTATGATCTTTACCAATTTTGATTCCGAAGGCTTGAGTATTTTGCAGACAAACATTTTTAAATTTCCAAATTTATTAAAAATTAATCTCGTCGGGAAATAATTTTTCCAAAAAATTACTTCCGTGTAAGGGATCCCATGAATACACTACCATTAGATTTTCAAAATACCCCCAATTTTAGTTAAAAAATTTAAAAAACCCCAAACATTTTCTTCTCCATCAATTCCCTCATTTCTTCCAAATTCCTTCGAAAAATGCTCAAATTTATTAAAAATAGCAGCCAAATGTCCAAAACGCCAATTCCATTTGGAATAAAATTTTTGTTTAATTAAAAATATTTTTAATAAATTTAATTGTTTATTTAATTCCACAGAGTCAATTAAATCCTCAAAAAGAACCAAAACCTTTAAAAATTAATTTTAAAAAATTTAATTAAAATTTAAAAATACTTTAGCATTAAGCTTCAATATTCGATGATCTTCTGGCCCTGATATTGCTTTAAATGTTAAGTTGAGTAATTGAAGGGATTCTAGTTGCTTGTTTGTTGTGAATATTAAAAGAGCATTTCTCTGTTCTGGAGTCTGGAAAAAACATTATTTGTTAAAAAATTTTGTCAAGGACGTGATTTTTTTGGTTGGAAAAGTCCAACACATATACTATAGCTTTGTGTCTATTTTTAAATTTATTCTAAAGTTCAAAAATTGTAAAAATAAAGAATACTGGAGGGAGGTCATGGGTTCAAATTTTTAATTCCTAAAAAAGCAAAATACCTTGGTTCAACTCTTTTAAAATATTTATTTAGACGCACCCCAGTTGTAGAAAAATAAAAATTATAGAAATGACATGATTTTAGGTATGTTAGTGAGGCATAGGACAGACTCCTACACGCTGAAAAACGCTGTAACCACTTAACTAATTAAATTAAAAAACCTTAAAAACCCGATTTCTTCCCAAAGAAGAAGCAAATTTGTGTTGAATAACTTTAGGAAAGCATTTAATACAATATCCAGCCAATTTTGTATTCTCCAAACGAAAAAAACTTCCATCTCCTTCAGTGCATTTAACACAAGATATTGCTAAAGTTGTTGTAGAGGAGCCTTCAGAATTCATTAAATTATGTAGAAATATAAAAATTTCGTTTAAAAATTTCAAAAGAAAAAATTTTTTTAAGGTTCCGAGAACTAAAAATTAAAAAACAAAAAAAATTTTATTTAAAAGTTTTGACTTTTGGCATTCTGTTTTTATTTATTTTTCTCTAAATTTCTAATTCTTGTTATCTTTTTTTCTCTGACCGTCTGCTGTTCTCTTTATTTTTCTTTATATTTCGTCGTTTTTAATAATTTTTTAAAATTTTCTATTCTTCAAATTTTTAAAAATTTTCTTCTTTAAGAATGCCTAAAAAGAACAAATTTCAACAAGATAAAATAAAAACTGAAGAGAAAAATGAGGAGGAAAAGAAGGATGAACAAAAGAAGTCGTTAAAGTTACCTCCTGGAAAAGACGAAAAATGGTGGGGTATGTTAATTTCAAATTAATGAATATTTCTAATTTAAATAAATTAAAAGATATAAGCACGTTTGGACCTGAAGATAATCCACATGGGATGGTTTGTGAATCTTCTTTTGCAACTCTATTTCCGAGATATCGAGAAAAATATATTAGAGAGGTTGCTTTTTATTTTTAAATTTTCAAGTATTTTATTTTTAGACCCATGAGTTAGTTTTATTTATATAAGGTTGAAATTGTTAGATCGGCCCTGATTTTATTCAGACCATGATTTTCCAAAGTCAAGACCTTTCCTTTTCTTTCCTTTGAGCTTGATTTTTTCTTAGCTCAATGATTAAGATTAACACATTTTTTAAATGGCTCAAAATCCTTGCTAGAAAGGGCACATTCTCTATCGAATGAGCCCGGTCTCGACCGTTTTTAAGTCGGACACCTCGCAAACTCTCCTTGTTAGAAACCATTAAAGAACACAAAAATCTTGTTGAATCTAGAGCCATCTTTTGAAAATAATGAACGAATTTTGTAATGAATTTTGCTTGTATTTTAGTCCAAACTCCCTTTCCTCAAATCAAAATTTTATTAAATTGTTTTAGATTAAATATGCCTTGTTTTAATTTTATAATTAAAAATTTAGGTTTGGCCCTTAGTCTCAAAACTTTTATCTGAACACCAACTCAAAGGCGATTTGGATTTATTAGAAGGCACAATGATTGTCAAAACAACACGTAAAACTTGGGATCCTTTTGTTTTGTATAAAGCTCGAGATTTGATTAAATTACTTGCTAGAAGTGTTCCTTTTGAACAGGTTTATATTTTAATAATTTCGAAAAGTTTTCTTAGTAATAAATTAATTTGGAAAATGAGTCTTTCTTAGATTGATTTTCTCATGAATTTTTCAAAAAAATCTACATTTAGAAAAAATCGTTAGACGAAATAATAATAAAATTAAATAATATTTTTTATAATTTTGACAAAATTTATCACTTTTTTCTTTTTAATTTTAAAATTTTTTAAATTTAACAAGTCCATTAACATATCCAATTAAAAAGTTCCTGTTTTTTCCAAATTTAAAGACCACAAAAATTAAAGTGACAAAATATCCCAATTTTTCTAAAACATTTATTTTAGGCTCGCCGTGTTCTCGAAGACCAAATATTTTGTGACATTATTAAAATTTCCTCAATGGTTCAAAACCGTGAAAGATTTGTAAAACGCAGAGCTCGGTTAGTTGGACAAAATGGGGCAACACTTAAAGCAGGGCTCTCATCGACAAAATGCCACTCAAAAGTATCAAAATCTTGATAAAAAAGTATATAGGGAGAAAATTTCCAAATTTAAAGTATACTCAAAATTAAATTGGAAAATATTTGTTCGTGCTCAAATCTTTTATATTTCTCTCTTAAATGAATCTTTTCTAATAATTTCTTGCTTCCATTGGGCATTTTGTGCATTTCAACGCATGACATGTCAAAATTCGCTGATACAAGAAATAAAGCCCTGACAGTCTTAACCTCAAGCTTTCGTCCATTTTCAGCGCCGCAGGCGAAAATTTTTTGAAATTTGGAGCCCAAGTAGTCAGATTTCTCCCATTTTCAGCGCCGCAGGCGAAAATTTTTTGAAATTTGGAGCCCAAGAAGCCAGATTTCTTTCTTTTTCAGCGCCGCAGGCGAAAATTTTGATAATTTCGAAGGCCCAAGGCTAAAAAAATTCACTTTTTTGCCCAATCCCTTCCCCAATTTCATTTTCAATCCAAAATGTTGATTTTAAAGTATATACTTTCAATAAAGTATAAATTCAATTTCTTAAGTATGGAGGTCGGTTTCAAAGTATAATACTTTCAAATAAAGCACGAATGAGAGCCCTGACTTAAAGCTATAGAATTGTTAACTGAATGTTATGTTCAAATACAGGTTTTTTAATTAAAATTTTTAAATAAATTTTTCTTTAAAATACACTTAAAATATTTTAAATTCTTAAAATCTTTAATTTGATGTGAGCCAAAAATAAAATTTTTGAAAATTTTTTTTTATTGCGAGGTTATTTGGAGGGGGAAATTATGCAAATTTCGGGACTTTGGAGGTCCATATCAAAAAACGGGCAAAAACCGCTCAAAATTCTTGTTAAAAAGGACACATTCTCTATCGAATGAGCCCGTTCTCGACCGTTTTTAGGTCGGACACCGCGCAACCTTTCTTTGTTAGTAATGATTACTTTCCGATTTTAGTTTAGTTATTAATTACCAAAAAATTTTTTATAAAAATTTTTTAAAAATTGATCTAAATTTAATTTTTCATTTTTAAATATCTTATTTTTAATTTAACTATTTTTAATTTTTTTTTCAAATTTTTAGGGAGGAACAGTTTCCACAATAGGCACCCATTTTGGACTTAAACAGGTCAGGTTTGTTTTTTTTTCTAATTTAATTTTAATTTATTAATTTTTTAAAGAAATATAGTCCAAGATTGTATGAATAATATCCACCCAATTTACCATATAAAAACTTTAATGATTAAAAAAGAATTAATGAAAGATGAAAAATTGAAAAATGAAAGTTGGGACAGGTTTTTGCCGAAATTTAAGAAAAAGGTTTGTTTTGTTATTTTTTTTCAAATAGCAAAAATTTTTGAGAAATTGTTTAATGTCCCTTTTTGAGTTATCGTTGTACACAAAAAATCCTTTTAAATAAATTTTACACATTTCTTTTTTAAGAATAGGATTGGGGGGGGGGGATAAATAATAAAAACTAAATTAATTTTTATGATCCTCTCTTACTCTCCTTACCTGTTGCCTTGTTTTTAAATTTTATTTTAAATTTTTTAATTTAAAAATTTCTAAGAAAATTCCTCAAAAAAAGACGTTTATCAAAGAAAGCTTTTCTTTAACTACCTTTTGCCTTATTTTTAAATTTGAAATCTTGTAGTTGAAAAAATATTCCAAGTTTATTTTTTTAAATTCTTTTCTTGAAAAATTTTTTCTAAGAATATTCCTCAAAATATCCTCTTCTTTATTTCCCTTTTCTGGTGCTTTATTTTTTAATTTAAAATTAAAAAAATTTTTTTTTAAAGGTTCATCAAAGCTCCAAAGAAGTCCGTTTAGCAAAGAAAAACAAAAAAGCAAAATGGAACAAAAAATCGGAATATACCCCATTCCCCCCACCACAACAACCACGTAAAATAGATATACAAATGGAGACTGGAGAATATTTTTTGAATGAAAAAATAAAAGAAAAGAAAAAAATTTTGGAAAAAGAAGAAAAAGAAATTGAAAAAAGAAAATTAAAAAAAGAAGAAAAATTGAAAGAATTTATACCTCCAAAAGAAGAAAATATTAAAATTAAATTTAATAAAAATATTAAGGAGGAAGAAGGAAAGGAAGAATTAATTGAGAGGGTTAAAATGAAGGCGAAAAAGAGAAGGGAATTAATGGAGGAAATGATGGAAAGTTGAAGAAAAAAATTATTTTAAAAAAATATTTTGAAGAAAAAAAATAATATTATTTTTTTTGTTTGATATTAAAAATGTTAAAAAGAATATTTGTCGAAGAAAATTAAATTTTAAATTTTTTTTAATTTTATTTAAAAGATTATCATTAAAATAAGGCATAGTTCTAGTGAAAATAATTTAAGTGACTTAAACTTTTAAGTTTGCTAACTTAAAATTGGATTTTTTATTTTAATAGTCTTCTAGTTTTTTAAGTTTGATCTTAAGTTTATTCTTTTTCTTGTTTAAGTTTGAACTTAAGTTTATTTTTTTCTTGTTTAAGTTTGAACTTGAGTTTATATTTTTTCTATTTTAAGTTTGATCTTAAGTTTATATATTTTTTTCTTGTTTAAGTTTGAACTTAAGTTTATTTTTTTCTTGTTTAAGTTTGAACTTGAGTTTATAGCTTGAACTTAGCTTGAATTTTCTTAGTCTTACCAAAAACATGACTTAAGTTTATCAACTTGAATTTAAGTTTTATAAATTGAATTTAGGTTTCTAGCTTGATCTTGAACATAACTTTGTCACCTTGGACTTAGGCTCTTTCTAGTTTAAGCAGTGAATCTTGTACTCGTAAAAATTTTGTACTTTATCAATAATGTACTTAAAAATTTATTTTTACAAAATTTTTAAAATTAATATTTAAATTTCTTCCAAAAAATGTGTTTGTGTTGTAAAGAGGCATGCTAGTTTCGGCCTAAGTACACTTTACCGGGCGATTTTAGATTTTTATGATTTACATGTCAATCGAAAGAGCTCGGCGAGCTGAGTCGAATGACACCAAAATTAGCCCGCGGACTCAACTATGGACCGAGAAATGGGTCCCCAAAAATCGAAAAACCATAGGGGGGATCAAGCACTATTTGGGGGTAAAAAATTCAAATATGCAAATTAAAACTCATTCGAAAGAGCTCGTCGAGATGAGTCAAATGACACCAAAATCAGGTTGATTGTAAAAGTTTGGACAAAGTTACAATAGAAAAACAAAAAACCTAAACCTATGGGGCGTCGGCGAGGCGCTTGTGCAAAACCCCGCGCTTCGCGCGGGGTTTTGCGGCACGCGCCTCGCGGGGAGTCTACGGGCGCTGGGTCTGGGCTCGTAACATAAACCTATTCCTATCTCCCTTGCTCTGGACGTATTTGGGGCCTCCGTAGCAGCAAAAATCTCCACAGATGCCATAGGTAAGGAGCTAAAATAAAAGATCATAACTTTGTCAAATCAAGTCGGATTTCGTTGATTTTGGTGTCATTCGACTCAGCTCGACGAGCTCTTTCGAATGAGGTATAATTTGCATATTCGAATTTTTCACCCCCGAAAACAGCTTGGTCCCCCCTATGGTTTTTCGATTTTTGGGGACCCATATCTCGGTTCATAGTTGAGTCCGCGGGCTAATTTTGGTGTCGTTCGACTCAGCTCGCCGAGCTCTTTCGAATGACATATAAATCATAAAAATCTAAAATCGCCCGGTAAAGTGTACTTTAGCCCTAGTTTCTCCTATTGTTTTTCAATCTTCCCGTGGTTTCTAAGACCATTAATCAAAATACAAAATCAAAAATTTGCTGATAAAATAATTTTTAGAAAAATTAAGCTCCTTCATAGAAATTCTTTAATTTGTCCAGGAGAAGTAACCAAAATTTCTTAACAATTTAAATATTTTCCAGGACAACTAAAACTATTTGGAGGAAGGGAGGGGGGAATGTCATTGTCTTTTCTTTTTTTATTTTATTAATTTTGATAAGCTAAATTTTTGTTTTAAGCATATTTGAAGGGGTTAATCAGTATTTGATAACAAAGGTGCGCCAAAAATTTTTTATATGAAAGTCAGAAGCTCAAAAATTTTGGCGCTCAGCAAACTATAATTAAAAAGGAACTAACAATACGGAAGGAAATTTAAAAAAGAAGCTGAGTTAATAAATTTAAATGTTAAATAATCATTTGTATGATTCATTGTGTATTGAATAAAAGAATAAAAATGATTACAATGAATAGTTATTTTAGTTAAAATGGTTTTTATTTCTGTTTAAATTTAGATTGATTTAAATTATATAGTATTATTTTTAAGTTTGATCTTAAGTTTAATAAATTAAACTTGAATTTAAGTTTGAACTTAAATTTAATAAATTAAACTTGAATTTAAGTTTGAACTTAAGTTTAGAAAATTAAACTTTAATTTAAGCTTGAACTTGAATTTAATAAATTAAACTTAAATTTAAGCTTGAACTTAAGTTTAATAAATAAACTTGAATTTAAGTTTGATAGCATACTATAATTAAACTTCTTTTGCAACTTGAAGTTAAGTTTGTGAACTTAAGTTATTCTTAATTTAATTAAGCTTAAACTTAATTTTTCAACACAAACATTAATAATTTAAAAATAAAATAAACTTAAGATTGTTAACTTAAAATTTTTAAATTAAGTTGTAAAAATTTAATTTTCAATAGTAACAGATGTCCTATTTAACTACAATTTTTGCTTTTATTTTCATTATTTTCATTTCTACTTCAGTTCAAAATGGAGGTGGTGGAGGTGGAGGGGATAGTATTATTATTTCCCCTGATTTAATTTCTTTTCAGGTAATTAAAAAAGAAATTAATTAAATTATTATTATATAGAATGCCACTTTTTGGGCCTTATTTGTTGGGGCAGTTCTTGCGTTCGTCCTTGGATTTGGAATGGGGGCTAATGACGGTAATTTCTTTTTTAATTAGCAAATCTAGGGTTGAACTTAATTTTCCTAAATCAACTCTTTACTTTTTTTTAAATTTTACAGTATCCAATGCATTTGGAACTTCTGTTGGTTCTAAAGTACTTACGCTTAAACAGGTGTGTGTAGATCCTTAAAAGAAAAAATATAATCCGTTAAGGCATATATATTAGCCAGTATATTCGAAACTCTTGGTGCAATATTTGTTGGTTATAATGTAACAGATACAATGAGGAAAAGTGTTGTTGTATTGTCTGAATATGAAAATGATCCCAAAGCTCTTTTATTTGGGCAAATAGCAATATTAGGAGGTTGTTCTGGGTGGTTAATGATTGCCACATTTGCTGAATTGCCTGTGTCTACAACACATAGGTAGGAAATCATTTTAAAGGAATGATATTTTTGAAAATTTAATTAAGCTTGAACTTAAGTTTGTTAGTTTAAGTTTGAACTTGAATTTCCTAGCTTAAGCTTTAAATTTCGTAATCTTAAGTTTAAACTCAAATTTATGAGCTTAAGTTTGAAGCCAAGTGAGGTTTAAGATTGAACTTATTTTATAAACCTAACATACATTTAAGCTTGATCTTAAAATTTTAAGCCTGATCTTATGTTTTAATAAGCCTGAACTTATATTTTTGTAACTTAAGCGTTCTCTCAATAATTAATTTTTTCTAGCGTTGTTGGAGCAACAATAGGTTTTTCTTTTATGATGAAAGGAATATCAAGTATCCAATGGTGGGAAGTTGGAAAAATTGGTTAGAAAATTAGAAAAATATTTAAAAAATTTACTTAATTAAAGCGCTTTCTTGGTTTACTTCTCCCCTTCTTTCTGGATTTATTTCAAGTATTTTATATTTAGTTGTGGATATTAGTGTTTTGCGAAAGGAAGAACCTCTTGAGGCTGGTCAGTGGATTTTTAAATATTATTAGCATTTTCTTCGGGCTATACCGATAACTGTCGGTGATCCCCTTGATTTAACATCATGTTCAAGTTTAAGCTTAGAATAATTTATGTTTTGACTTTGAACTTGTGTAAACCCTTATTTTTAAACATACTTCAAGTTTGCAAACTCAATATTTTTTTCTTATTTTTATACACTTTCACCCTTAACAATTCAATTTATTTTTTCTCTTATAGGTCTTCGAGTATTACCAATTTTCTATTTCTTCTGTATTGCTTTCAACACTTTCACTATTAGTTATCAAGGCTCGAAAATTCTTGGTTTAGAAAGTATTCCTCTTTGGCTGGCTATTGTTATTAGCTTATTAACCGCAATATTGGCAGCTTTAGTTGTTCATTTTGTTTTAAAGCCAAGACTGAGTAGTTGGATACATCGTGGGTTTTTTGTATTGGAAGCAAATTTTAGTTAAACTTGAAGCAATTTAAGTTCAAACTTGAAAATAATTTTATTTAAGAAATAAACTTATTTTTAAGTTCAAACTTGAAAATATTTTTATTCTAAAAAATAAACTTGTTTTCAAGTTCAAGCTTGAAAATAATTTTACTTTGAAAAATAAACTTGTTTTCAAGTTCAAACTTGAAAATAATTTTATTTTAGAAAATAAACTTGTTTTCAAGTTCAAGCTTAAAAATAAATTTATTCTGAGAACTAACTTTAATTTTAAGTTCAAACTTGAAAATAAATTAAATAGGAAAACACACAATTGCTGTTGTTCGAGATGTTGTTCAGAGGAATGGTTCAATTCTTAGCCATCCCCAATTACCTATTATTAATAAAAGATTGGAATTTGATGGAAAAATAAGAACACATTTGGATGGGTCTTTTATTATTGAAAGTAATTAATAAATTAATTTAAATAAATTTTAATATTTTTTCAGCTACCCACAGTTTGCCTGGAAATAATTATATAACAATACCTCTAGAAAATGATAAAAAGAATGGAAAACAAATTTGTAGAAGTATTTCTGAATTACCTGAAAAATATCAAGGAAATGTATTTAATGGAAATAATAAAATGAGGAAAAATAGAAATAGAGGAATAAGTGAAGCTGAGAGTGTTTTGAGTGTTACAAATTATGTTCCTCAAAAATTAGAATTGTGTAAGTCTAACTTGAAATATTTCTGAATTTTGAAATTACAAAAATTCTATTCAATGAAAATTAAAACTTGAAACAATTTAAGTTCAAACTTGAAAATATTCTTTTTCCATTTTTACAAACTTGAAACTAATTCCTTCACAAATTAAACTTGAAAGTTTTAAGTTCAAGCTTAAACTTATTTCAAACTTTAAGAAAATTTA